GACCCAGCAGACTCTTTCAACATTGGACAGAGAGTGACCATTTCTCCCTGGCTCTTTGAGAGTTCTGAGTCCTGGAGGCTTATAGGAGGCTTTGATTTGAAAGCTCAACTCTGGGACATGGCCTCTCCAGGGCTTTATGAAGTGATGGGTGCTCTGGCTTTGCTTCACTTTCAAAATGTCCCTGCAGCAGCTGCTATTCTTGCTCTGGAGCATTTGGCTTTAAATACGTTCCCTGTCAAGAGGATTGGCACCCTGCGTTTTTCTCTTTCACCCATTCTTCTGAGTATAAAAGTTTGACTTCTTGCAAACGCAGGGCCCTTTCATGAAGAAATAGATACAACTGACTTTTCTGAGTTAAGGTCTGGCGTCTCTCAAGGGTAGTAGCAGACAGGACTACCCCTGGACTGTCTTGGCCAGTCAGTCCCCCCCAGACAGTCCCCAGGACTGGCTTGGCCATGCCAGTGGCTTCAAGGTGTCATGTGCTATGATTGGCATGCGAAGAATAGTTTTAGAGCATCATGGAAAATTAAGTAGTCATGAAGTAGATGCATCCTAGCATTAGGAGCAAAGACTGACCACTTGGCCAGTTGTGTGAACTTGGGCAAGAGCTTCAGCTTCATCTACAGATGGAATTTATTGATATTCTATCTGCCTTATCAGTTTCCCCCTGTGAGGCCTGAATGAGCTAATGCAGGAAACGTGCTTAGCAAATCACAAGTAGCAGCAATTGTTATTAATGTAAAGAGCTCCTGTTATTTCCTCCCTCTGTTTAGACATTCCTTGCTGTAAATTTATTTTCCAACTGGTTTCAGGATCATGTTCCCTTTGGGGGCATCTGACGGTCAAGTTTGAGGGGGAAAAAATGCGTTAAAGGGATGTGGATGAAAATCTGATCAATCTTGATTAAAAATAAAAGCAGACTTTGCCATGTATTCATGTGATGTCCTGCACTAGCAGTGACACTTTGTTAGGGTAGTAGAGTTCATGGAAGTAAGCTAAGTATTGATTAGTAATTTAAATGTCAAAGAATTAAGCCTGCAGTGGAGCAGGCGGTGCAAGCAGTTTTGTTTGGTTGTAAAAATGCCAACATTCCTGAAACAGTGAGCTCATCATCAAATTCCTCTTCCACGCCCACAAAAGAATCTATGCTTGTTTGCTCGATTTTGTTTTGGTTTTCTGGGCAACTAAGAATGAAATAGGGCAGTGATTCTCAAACAAGTTAGAGCATTAAAATCCTCTGGAGGGCTTGTGAAACCCTGAATCTTCGCACCAGAGTTGTTGATTCAGTAAGACGGGGGTGGGGCCTGAGAGTTTGCATTTCTACTAAGTTCCCAGGCAAGGCTGATGCTGCTGATCCAGGAACTGCACTTTGAGAACCATTAATATGGAATGTCCTGAGGCCTTACAAAGTGGTGGAGACCTCAGGGCGATTTATTCACCAGGAAGTGGGTTCAAATTCAGGGGCTGTCTTTAGTAGCAGAGAGCAGAGTTAAGTCAAGCAAATAATCTCTCTGAGATCCAGTTTCTTCTGTTTTTAAATGGAAATGATACAGCCTTCCCCCTCCCCCTTGTTAGGGTCATCAGAAAACTTAAAGATGTCTGTGAAGAACTTTGTTCCTTGCCTCACATGCATTAATTTAAGAGTCCATTAATTTCTTTTACTTCAAGCTATTTTTTCATAAGTCATGTATTTATTTCTGAGTGTTTGGGGCCAGAAAGTCTGTCGGGTGAATATACTGTTCATTTAAATGACTGAAGCAGTTTGAAAGATTTCAGTAAGGTTCCATTTCAGAATTCCCATGTCATTTTTCACACTGGTGTGTGTGTGTGTGTGTGTGTGTGTGTGTGTGTGTGTGTGTGTGTAGTTTTTTCCTTTTAATTAAATTAGTTTCTTCCCATTAAATTCTTATAGAGTAGCAAGTTGAATAATGGATTGGGAATTTCATCCTTCTCTAGTTTGTGCATTGGAATTTCAGCATATTTTCATGTGTTGGTAGCAGAGGGCAGTGAAAAGGTCACAGCTGGAATGAAAACCCTGAGTTTTCATAATTCATGGACAATTAGAGTCTGACTGAACTTTGTCTTTTTATTCAAAAGCAACCATGTGAGTATCTCCCTGAACAGAAGCACCAGTTGCTGTTCAGTCGATCTGTCGTGTCCGACTCTTTGGGACCCCATGGACTGCAGCACGCCAGGCTTCCCTGTCCTTCACCATCTCCCGGAGCTTGCTCAAACTCATGTCCACTGAGTCATGATGCCATCCAACCATCTCATCCTCTGTCGTCCCCTTCTCCTCCTGCCTTCAGTCTCTCCCAGCATCAGGGGGGTGTGTTAAGTTTTTTGAGACAGAGAGCTGTTCCTTAAATGACGTATTGTTGACAGTTCACACAGTCCTTGGCAGGTACAAAGTGTTGCATCACTGTGACCTCTTCTAAGATCAAGGTGAAGAATGTTATCTTTAAGGAGTTGTCATGTTGGTATTGGGAGAATGTTGCTCTTTATGGCTGAGCAGGTATTCCTGCCAATGGGCAAGGCCTGTTCTATGCATAATGAATTTACACAGTGCACAGTGTTGGGGAGACAGGAGGCCAAAGGGCAGAGAAATTTTTATGTGTAAATTTTACTTGTCTTGCCATAAAATGTGAATTTTATTTCACAGAAGAATCAGCCCAGGTGGTGCAAAGACTGCATTTTAAGACAGACAAGGCAAGGGCTGCAACGGTCAAGACAGATTTCGGATTCAGATTCTGCTGCTTAACTAGCTATGTGGACTTGAGCACATTCTCCAGTCTTCTTTCCCCCCACCTCTATTTGGCTGTTTCTTTTTTAATTTATTTTTGAAATTAATCTTTATTGGAGTATGGTTGCTTTATAATGTTGTGTGACTTTCTCCTGTATAGCAAAGTGAAACAGCCATACATAAACGTGAAAAGCGAGAGTGTTAGTTGCTCGGTCGTGTCCGACTTTTTTCGACCTCGTGGACTGTAGCCAGCCAGGCTCCTCTGTCCATAGAATTCTCCAGAATACTGGAGTGGGCTGCCATTCCCTTCTCCAGGGGATCTTCCCGACCTGGAGATCGAACCCGTGTCTCCTGCATTGCAGGCAGGCTTTCTGAGCCACCAGGGATGGCCCATACATATACATATATCCCCTCTTTTCTGGATTTCCTTCCCATTTATTAATAGGTCACCACAGAGCATTGAACAGAGTTCCCTGAGCTATACAGTAGGTTCTCATTACCTCCACTTTCTTAATTCTTGGTCTCTCGTATGTGACATGGGTCATTCTTATTCATTGGGGCCATTAGACAGATTATATAGTTCATGGATTTTAAAAATATCTGGCATAGTGCCAGTCACAAAGCCCTCAAAAGCTCCAGAGTTGTGATGGTTCTCCTAAAATGCCACACAGGAAAGGTGGACAGAGAAGATAGACACAAAAGTTCACAAACGACTAAAACTGAAATGAAGTCAACTGGCTGTGTGTTAATCCGTAAAATATATATGAAGTCTTGAAGAAAGAGAATTCTCCAAAGATTATGTTGAAGGGACCGATTCCTTACAGGTGGTGTAGATCGGGAACATTTGCAACTAGTTTCTAACTTAGTATAATCACTTTCAAAAAATTTTTATTTATTTATTTATTTGACTGCCCTGGGTCTTCATTGCCACGCGGGCTTTCTCTAGTTGCAGTGCTCGGACTTCTCATTGCACTGGCTTCCACTGTTGTGGAACACAGGCTCTAGGCCCACAAACTTCAATAATTACGGCTCATCGGCTCTAGAATGCAAGATCAGTGCGTGTGGCCCATGGGTTTATTTGCTCCATAGCCTGTGGAATTTTTCCGGATCAGGATCCAATCTGTGTCCCCTGCATTGGCTGGCAGATTCTTATCCTCTATACCAGCAGGGAAATCCTGTACTTACTTTTTTAGTATCAAAACTCTATTTTGGACACCTTAAGGTAAAATGATGTTGGATTGTGTTGAAACAAATTATTCAGTCTAATCTATTGAATCAGCGGACTATCATTTTTTACTGTCAGTACATCAATTTTCCATTCACTTTCACATGACAAGATAATGTCCTTTTCATGAAAATACTAAACACTTCAGGAGATCCTAAATGAGGCCATCGTAACACAAGACAGCAGAGCCAGTATTATTCAGTAATAGGATGGCAAGATCAGTTTAGAAAGAAAGCAGCATTATTATAGACAGATTTTTATTATAGACAGATTTTTATTCAGAGATTTAAGAAATGCCATGGAAGTGCATGTTTACGTGGATTTTTCTCAATTTCTCTTAAGCAGTTTTAAGAAATTTTATTCCTTCTGTAGGATAGTCTTTCCCAGCTTACTGACAAATTTTTAAATTATGTGCTTGAAATTAGTATTATGGCATGTTTTCATTTCCACGCTGTTCCTGAAGACCTCTGTCGGTGGAGCCTTCAGAAGAGAATTTATTCGCCACAATTGTACTTCCATTAAACAAAGCTTAAGAACAGGCAGTCCTAATGGGGTTTTCATTTATGGATCCTTTGGGTAGGGTTCCCCAGGGAAGATGGTCAACATTAATTAAAACATCTTGAGGCCTGTGAGCCACAATTACTTCTATGTGAGATGCAGTGAAGAGCTTTGAATGATCCCGTGAAAACAGAGGATGCAGGAAATTGCTGCTTTCTCATCACTTTCATGAAGATGCAGCTTTTAAGCAAATACTCTTCAGAGTTACCACAGTTGACATAATTCATTGCTCTAGGGAACAAATGTTTTATATTTTCAATTTGTTACACAACAAAGGAGAGGCCTTTTATATGGGGTAGTTATCATGTTGCCTGCATATCTAAGACAGGAGAGTCTTGAACCACCCCTGAAGTGATGACAGGGTGTGCAAATTATGGGTTTGTTATGTGTTTCTAGTAGGCATATGGGAATATGCATATGTAATATAAGTAAAGATGTCACTTTGAACTAGTGGGACTGTTGGTTATTTCTTTCTAGGTTGGGAAGCGAGGGACAATAAGAGATTATCCTGGCTTTAATCCATCAGTGGATGCTGAAGCGATTCGTAAGGCCATCAGAGGAATTGGTGAGTAATGTTTTACAATTTCTTTCTTACTGTTGAAGCAGATCAGGAATTAAAGCTAAAAGTGCATAGGTTCAGTTTGCCCATGTTGCTTTTTTTTTACTTAATTAGAGAAATTGTAAGGCACTTCAAAAAATTGTGAAGAGGAAAAGTATAGGGAACCTAGTCTGTGTGTGTGTGTGTGTGTGTGTGTGTGTGTATTTTTTTTTTCCATGACAATCATATGAGGTGGAGACTTTTATTTTCTTTAGTTTACAGATGGGGGAACTGCAGCTCAGAGGTGTTGAAACATTTTCCTAGGGTCGTACATGAGTGGCAGAGCTGGGATTCAAACCCATGATTGAAATATCAGGTTTCTTCCAGTGTACCTTGCTTTCACGACACCAGGAGAGTGTCAGTGGGGATAGGCAAGACCTTTAAGAGGTATTTAAATTTTTATTTATTTATTTTTATCTATGGCTGTGCTGGATCTTCACTGCTGCGCACTGGCTCTCTCTAGTTCTGGCCAACCAGGGCTACTGTCCAGTTGTGGTGGGAGGGCTTCTCATTACAGTGGCTTCTCTTGTTGTGGAGCACGGGCTCTAGGGCACATGGGCATTAGTAGTTTTGGGGCATGTTTCCCTACAGCATGTGGGATCTTCCCAAACCAAGGATCGAACCAGTGACCCTGGCATTGCAAGGTGGATTCTTCACCACTGGACCAGCAGGGAAGCCCAGGAACCCAGTTTTATCCAATCTTAATATTTGCCGTGTTTCAGTTCAGTTCAGTCGCTCAGTCGTGTCTGACTCTTTGCGACCCCATGAACCGCAGCACACCAGGCCTCCCTGTCCATCACCAACTCCCGGGGTTTACCCAAACTCATGTCCATTGAGGCCATCCAACAACCTCATCCTCTGTCGTCCCCTTCTCCTCCTGCCTTCAATCTTTCCTAACAACAGGGTCTTTTCAAATGAGTCAGCTCTTTGCATCAGGTAGCCAAAATATTGGAGTTTTAGCTTCAACATCAGTCCTTCCAATGAACACCCAGGACTGATTTCCTTTTTAGGATGGACTGGTTGGATCTCTTTGCAATCCAAGGGATTTTCAAGAGTCTTCTCCAACACCACAGTTCAAAACCATCAATTCTGTGCTCAGCTTTCTTTATAGTCCAACTCTCACAACCATACATGACTACTGGAAAAACCATGCTTATTTACTACTATACACTACCATGGGCTTCCCGGGTGGTGCTAGTGGTGAAGAATCAGCCTGCCAATGTGGGACATGACTGAGCAACTAACACTTTCACTTCCAAACACTGCCATGGCCATCACTGCTGTCAACATTCATCATCATTTTCACCATGAATCATTACAGATACCGTCCCTTCCGATTCTGTCTGGATTCATTCCCACCCTATTCTCTAGAGATAAACAGCATTCTAAATTAGAAATATATTTCCATGAAACGTTTAATTCTGTACTCTGTATGTATGTACATATTGTTTTGCATGGACTCAACAGTATAAATTGAAATCCTACTGTAGGTATCCTTCTGCAACTTGTTTTTTATCCCTTAACATTATGTTTTTGAGATTTATCCATGTTGATATGTTTAGCTCTAGTTCATTAATTTTAACTGCAGAGTAATCTATTGAATTACTATGTCGTAAGATGGAAATAGTGATGGAACTTTTAAATTGCCTACAATTCTTTTCTATTACAGTATAAAAGTACTGCACTGAATAGTTGTGCTTATGTCTTTTGTGAATGTTTGCTAGCATCTCTCTAGAATATAAATTTACTAGAAATTTTGCCAAACTGCTCTCTCAAATGAATTTACAAATTAGCATTCCTACCAGCAATATGGCTTCCCAGGTGGCACAGCAGTAAGGAATCCGCCTGCTAATGCAAGAGACATGGGTTCCATCCCTGGGTCAGGAAGATCCCCTGGAGAAGGAAATGGCAACCCACTCCAGTTATCTTGCCTGGAAAATCCCATCGACAGAGTATCCTGGTGGGCTACAGTTCATGGGGTCACAAAGAGTCAGACACAGCTGAGTGATTGAGCGCATACAGCACCAGCAATGTATAAGACTTCTTGCTCAGTATTCTCATCCCTACTTGCTATGGTCATCCAATAGAGTGGGTCTAAAATTGTACCTGATGCTATTTCCTTCCTCTTCCCCATCCCTCATTATTGATGCAGTTAAGCATCCTTTCTTGTTTATTGGCTTCCTTTCCCATGAATTACTCCTCCATACTTTTTATCCATTTTTCAGTTGGGTTGTGTTCTTTGGCTTGGCAAGAAAAAAATATTTAATTTTTTTTTTTAAATAAATTCTGGGTATGAAACATTTTTTTAATTACAAGCTATAAAAATATCTTTTCTCAGAATGTGATTTCCTTTTCACATTGCCTACAGTAACTTTAATCAAATAAAAGTTTTAAATTTTAGTGAAATTAACTTTACCAATATTTTTTTGTAATAACTTATACTTACTGTGTCTTTTCTGTGGTGAGCACGTAAAGATACCTTGCTGTATTTTCTCCCCCAGATTTTACATTCTTATTTTTCACATTGAGATCTTTAATCTGCCTGGAATTAATGTTTGTGAATGCCATTTAAATCTAATTTGATTTTATGTGGCTATGCAATTGTCCCAGTGCAATCGATTGAAGCATTCATCTTTCCCCAATGATTTGTAATGCCACCACTGTCTCATAAGCTTTGCTATTTTTCTGCTCTCTGTTACATTCCATTGGTCTGTTTGCCTCTCCGTGTCTCTATACAACATTGTCACAACTACTATTATTATTTTATAGTGACACTAGTGTCTAGTAAGGCAGGAGTTTTTCTTCTTGGCTCTTTGCCCTCTTCTATAAATTTTAGGGTCAGTTTGTCAAGTTTCATGAATTATACTATTAAGATTTTATATCAGTTTAATATTATTGTATTTCTGCCTGTTTAGGTTTTTCTTTTTTTTTCTATTTTTAAAGGAAAGTTATTTCTTTATCTACCTCTTTGTTTCCCTATTTACACACAGTGTCGAATAGATTTTTCCATGAGGCTGTTGTCAAACTGAATGAATTAATGGTCTTTAAATTCTCTCTGTTGTCTTTCTTCCTTTCCATTAAGTTTCTTCACAGATTTGCAATCCCACTCTGAGGAGACTTTCGTTTGTAAGCACCACTCCCAACACCAAAACCAGGTGTCAAGGTGGCATTTGCCTTAGGGACGTGTGAGACCCAGCCTCTGAACCATGAGGCATCTTGGTTTAATTTGCCTTAGGGACGTGTGAGACCCAGCCTCTGAACCATGAGGCATCTTGGTTTAATTTCTGGTCTTGAGCATTTGCAGAAATAAGAGAGGAGAAATTGCCTGATGTACAACCTACATGTGATTGTGGGTGGTTAGTTCTATCTGGAATCTAGGGGCATAAGGTATAGAGATGCAGAGAAGGGAGTGGGAAATTAGAACAAAGATGTGAGGCAAAAGCTGGTGCTGGAAGTTTAGTCGCTAAGTCATGTCTGACTCTTGCGACCCTATGGACGGAGGAGCCTGGCAGGCTGCAGTCCATGGGATTCTCCAGGCAAGAATACTCAAGTGGGTTGCCATTTCCTTCTCCAGGGGATCTTCCCGACCCAGGAATCAAACCCAGGTCTCCTGCATTGTAGGCAGATTCATTACCAACTAAGCTACAAGGGAAGCCCAAGCTAGGTCCTAAGAAACTGGTACACAAGCTGAGGAGCTTAAGCTTCATCCTGAAGATTACAGAGAATCTTTAGGATTTCTATCAAGGAACTGACATGATCTGATGTGTTTAAAAAATTTACTTAGGCAGAACTATACAGTATGAATTATAATGGGATCAAGTTAGGAGACTATTGAAGTTTCCAGGTAAAATATGATGAATGCACAGTAGCATAAAAGAGGACAAATTCAAGACATTCAGATGATTGCTACAATGTAAAGAGGAGGGAAAAGAAAGGAGTATAGGATGGCTGGAGAATCTTTGCTTGGATGACTGTATCTATAGTGGTATCATTGACTAGGGAACATCGAATGAAAGACAAGTTAGAGAGGAAATAGAATAGAATGCATAGAATAGAATAAAATCCAGTGGAATGAATCCAAATGGAATCCAAATAGAATGAATGCATTCTGGAGCAGCTGAGTTTGAGATACTTGTAGTTAGAGGTGTTCAGTCATGCACCAGTCCAGATGCCATGACAGGTCCGAGTTGATAATCGGATTCACAGAGCACAACGAGGATTTAATCTAACTCTGTTTCCTTAACTATACAGAAGAATACAAGACCAGAGATCCGCTGGGGCAGCATCTTTCACTGGGAGGCCCAGCAGCTAGTCAAATACAGTTCCTTTTGCCCCATCATTCATGTAGAGTGTGCACCACTGCCATGGACGAATGGAACCAAGGCGTGTGTGGATCACTCAACATGGGGAAGATGAGCCTAGAGTTCCAGCTGACCTTTATACAATTAGAGTCAACTCACAGCCTGCAACCCAGGGGGAGTCCTCTACCACAAAGGAGTAGGCACAACTTCCAACAATATCTTAATACTGTAATTACTAAGAAAATGGTGACGTAGAGGTCATTTTCATGCAGGCACGCATCAACCCTTTCAGTTCAGTTCATTCGCTCAGTCGTGTCTGATTCTGCGACTCCATGGACTTCAGCAAGCCAGGCTGCCCTGTCCATCACCAACTCCCAGAGCCTACTCAAACTCATGTCCATCGAGTCGGTGATGCCATCCAACCATCTCATCCTCTGTTGTCCCCCTTCTCCTCCCGCCTTCAATCTTTCCCAGCATCAGGGTCTTTTCCACTGAGTCAGTTCTTCGCATGATGGGGCCAAAGTATTGGAGTTTCAGCTTCAGCATCAGTCCTTCCAAAGAATATTCAGGACTGATTTCCTTTAGGATGGACTGGTTGGATCTCCTTGCAGTCCATGGGACTTTCAAGAGTCTTCTCCAACACCACAGTTCAAAAGCATCAGTTCTTGGGTGCTCAGCTTTCTTTATAGTTCAACTCTCACACCCATACATGACTACTGGAAAAACCAAAGCTTTGACTAAACAGACCTTTGTTGGCAAAGTAATGTCTCTGCTTTTTAATATGCTATCTAGGTTGATCATAACTTTTCTTCCAAGGAGCAAGCGTCTTTTAATTTCATGGCTGCAGTCACCATCTGCAGTGATTTTGGAGCCCAGAAAAATAAAGTCTGTCACTGTTTCCACTGTTTTCCCATCTATTTGCCATGAAGTAATGGGACCAGATGCCATGATCTTAGTTTTCTAAATGTTGAGTTTTAAGCCAACTTTTTCACTCTCCTCTTTCACTTTCATCAAGAGGCTCTTAAGTTCTTCTTCACTGTCTGCCATAAGTGTGGTGTCATCTGCATATCTGAAGTTATTGATATTTCTGCCAACAATGTTGATTCCAGCTTGTGCTTCTCCAGTCCAGCGTTTCTCATGATGTACTCTGCATATAAGTTAAATAAGCCGGGTGACAATACACAGCCTTGATGTACTCCTTTTCCTATTTGGAACCAGTCTCTTGTTCCATGTCCAGTTGTAGCTGTTGCTTCTTGACCTGCATACAAATTTCTCAGGAGGCAGATCAGGTGGTCTGGTGTTCCCATCTCTTTCAGAATTTTCCAGTTTGTTGTGATCCACACAGTCAAAGGCTTTGGTATAGTCAATAAAGCAGAAGTAGATGTTTTTCTGGAACTCTCGCTTTTTCAATGGTCCAGCGGATGTTAGCAATTTGATCTCTGGATCCTCTGTCTTTTCTAAATCCAGCTTGAACATCAGCCCTTTACTTGTACTTAAAACAGGTGGTTAAGTATATGGGTCTGAAATTCCTGAAACATGTATGGACCAGTGGACATAGAAATACATGTTTTGGGTTGAAAGATTAGGATTAAGGTTCAAATTCTTGCTGTGCCACTTAAAAGCTGCATGACTTTGGCAAATGAGGTGAGTTCTCTAAATGTTTACATCTTTATCTTTAGAGCAGTTTAATCATACCTACTGTCCTGGGCAGTATTAACTATGACAATAAATAAAAGATGCCTATGTGTGCTAGGTTCTCAATTAGCATCAGTTCCTTTTTTCTAGAGAAAAAAATGACTTCGTGTACCAAATATGGAGATAAGAGAAAGATAGAAGGTGAAATGACAGTAACTGAACCTCACAAGGTTGAAAAAAACCTACTTCAAAAGCGGCATGATCCTTGTGCTTTTTTTCTCTGTCTGATGTATGGATAGGAATATTTGAGTCATGATGGCTTTCTTCCCCTAAAACTATCCAAATAAAGTTAATTTTCTTTCCTCAAAGGCAGGGAATCAAAGAAATAAAGATGCCAACCTGATAAGACCTAGAAATTAGAAATTAAAATGCCTTCCTCTCTGCATCTGTTTCAGATAGTTAATCATCTTTCTTTTGTTCATGACAGATGCATTAAGCATATTTGGGTTGATGGTGAATACAGTTATTTTCGTCTCATTTAGGGACCGATGAGAAAACACTGATCAGCATTCTGACTGAGAGGACGAATGCACAACGGCAGCTGATTGCTAAGGAATATCAAGCAATATGTGGAAAGGTATGGTTCCCTAACAGGCAGTAATGAGCTAATCACTGATGGATCAGGGCTGCTCCCACGTGATGATACCCCCAGATCTTTTATTGCAGGCCAAGTGTAACAGAAAGTGCCCAGTATATCCAGTCAATAGCCTGGAATAGATGTGGTTTTGCCCTTAACTGTCTGAATGGCCTTGGACGTGTTATTTGACCTTTCTGGACCTCAGTTACCTTCACCATTGAATAAGGAGGGTTGCCTTGGATCTGTGGCTCTAAATCAAGGATGATTTTGCTCCCCAGTGGCTATTTGATGGCATCTCCAAACATGCTGATTGCCACAACTGGTGGGAGAGGGATGTGCTGGTACCTCATGGGACAAGATCAGAGATGCTGCTCAGCATCCTTCAATGTGCAAGACAGTCCCCACAACCAAGAATCATCTGATCAGTTATCTGATAAGTCCTGTCTTAGGTGATCTTCAGTTTCTCTTTCAGCTTTAATATATTTATGTTATTATATATTTTTTAATTCATTCAGCGAATGAAAACTTACTAAACACCAGAAGTTATATAAGAACTCTTCAGGAGCATTTTGTGTGTCTTTTCCGCCTAGTTTTTTGAGTGTTGAGTTTTAGGCCCGCTTTTTCACTCTTCTCTTTCACCTTCGTCAAGAGGCTCTTTAGTTCCTATTCCCATTATGCCATTAGTGTGGTATCATCTGCATATCTGAGGTTATTGATATTTTTCCCAGCAATGTTGATTCCAGCTTGTGCTTCACCCAGCCTTTCATTTTGCATGATATACTCTGTATAGACTTTAAATAAGCAGGGTGACAATATACAGGCTTGACGTACTCCTTTCCCAAGTTTGGAACCAGTCCATTGTTCCATTGCAGTTCTAACTGTTGCTTCTTGAGCTGCATACAGGTTTCTCAGGAGGCAGGTTAGGTAGTCTGATATTCCCATCTCTTTAAGGATTTTCCAGTTTGTTGTGATCCACACAGTCAAAGGCTTTAGCTTCATTTAGTCAATGAAGCAGAAGTAGATGGCTTTTGGAATTGCCTTGCTTTTTCTATGATCTCTTTAAGAAAATTAGCAGTGACCACAGGACTGGAAAAGATCCTCTCCTTTCCAATTCATATCAAATTTGGCAATTTGATATCTGGTTCCTCTGCCATTTCTAAATCCAGCTTGTACATCTGGACATTCTTGGTTCACATATTGTTGAAGCCTAGCTTGAAGGATTTTGAGCATTACCTTGCTAGCATGTGAAATGAGCATAGTTGTGTGGTATTTTGAGCATTCTTTGGGATTACCTTTTTTTCTAATTGGAATGAAAACTGACCTTTTCCAGTCCTGTGGCCACTGCTGAGTTTCCCAAATTTGCTGGCATTTTGAATGCAGCACTTTCACAGCATTATCTTTTCAGACTTGAAATAAGTTAGCTGGAATTCCATCACCTCCACTAGCTTTGATCGTGGTAATGTTTCTTAAGGTCCACTTGACTTCACACACCAGGGTGTCTGGCTCTAGGTGAGTGACCACATTATCGTGGTTATCTGGGTCATTTTGTATAGTTCTCCCATGTATTCTTGCTACCTCTTCTCAATCTCTTCTGCTTCTGTTAGGTCCTTGCCATTTCTGTCCTTTATCATGCCCATCTTTGCATGAAGTGTTCCTTTGGTATATCTTATTTTCTTGAAGAGATCTCTAGTCTTTCCCATTGTGTTGTTTTCCTCTATTCCTTTGGATTGGTCAGTTAAGAAGACTTTCTTATCTCTCCTTGCTATTCTCTGGAACTCTGCATTCAGTTGGATATATCTTTCTTTTTTTCCTTTGCCTTTTGCAAAGGAGAATTTGTAACCTAATTTTTATTTTTAAAAGATTATTTTACATGAGACAAGTGCTCGGGCCTGGTGCACTGGGAAGACCCAGAGGGATCGGGTGGAGAGGGAGGTGGGAGGGGGGACTGGGATGGGGAATACATGTAAATCCATGGCTAATTCATTTCAATGTATGACAAAAACCACTGCAATGATGTAAAGTAATTAGCCTCCAACTAATAAAAATAAATGGAAAAAAATATATACTTAAAAAAAAAATAAAAATAAAAGTATTGGATTTTAGTTTAAAAAAAAAAATAAAAAAAAAATTAAAAAATAAAAGATTATTTTAGCTGCTTGGCTAATGAACTGGTAAGGGCAAGAGCAGAAACACAAACCAGTCAGGCTATCAGATCCAGAATCAAGAGTGTGTGGTGACCATCCCCAGGCCACTGAGGCATCACCCAGCAGCGTTCTCCCAGCCCACAGCTCCGTTAGGCCACCCTTCTCTGTGTTTCCTCCATGCACTCAGTTACTCACTTGTGTCCAACTCTTTGTGACCCCACAGACTTTAGCCCACTAGGTTCCTCCATCCGTGGGATTTCCCCAGCAGAAGTACTGGAGTGGGTTGCCCTTTCTTCCTTCAGGGGATCTTCACCACCCGGGGATTGCAACTGCATCTCCTGTAATGAAGGCAGTTTCTTTACTCCTGAGCCACTGAGGAAGCGCTGCGTTCCCTCTATCAGATATTTAATATATTACTTTGGAATTTTACCTTTGACTCTTTCTGTTTTTCCCTTTAGGGTACAGTGTCCTAGGGGTAAGGATTGTGTCTAACTCATCATTAAGTGCCTACCACAGAGCAGGTACCCGGTAAACACTTGTCAAATTTAAAAAATTGCCAAGCTTCTGGCCAAGGCAACATACTCATGTACAGGGAAGGTGAACGATCCATTGGCCTTTCAGGATTTCCAAAACATGGAGGAAGGATAGAGGGGAAGGGTGACAACCGTGTCTCACAGTGGGGCAGAAGGAGAGCCTGTGAAGTAAGATCCGGGTTGAGGACAGATGGGTTTGAGTTTAGCTGTTGAAGAGGAAACCCCCCACGATGACTACAGTGGCTCCATCCCATTTGTTTTGGCAGGAGCCTACCCTCACTGGGCCCCCAGTGTCACGGAAGATGTTGGTCTGCACCCACATCGTCATAGCAGTGTGGTGGGCTTTCAGCCTCTTGTTTCAAGGCTGGAGCTCATCAAGAGCAGGAAAAATAATTATTCAGTAATACTCCTTTGGCTACTAAAAATAGAAACCATATTACTTGCCTTCAAGCAAGGGAGATGGATCAGACTTAGGTAACATGTGAAAACACTGCTGAAAGAGAGTATCAATAAATGAGGTTCCCCTGTTGCCACATTTCTACTTTCCCCTGCTCTTGTTGCCAGAAAATCACTTTGGATACCTCCTCATCCCACACTCTGAGCAGAGGCAAACGACCACGTGCTGTCTTCCCTCATCTTCTCCCCTTGAAGCTGTTTGGCAGACACTGAGAGGCCAGGCAGAGTGGAGCACCTCCCGTTAAAACTGGGTGTGAATTACGGGGCTCCTCTCCCATCACCTTCCCACTGAGAGCATCAGGGACCTGGGAAACTTATTTTAATAGTTCGTATCTGTGCCCCTCACAGGACCTCCTCCCTGCCTTCCCTGCAGGAAACCATCTATAAAACATTTTGGAAACAATCATAAAATGCAGATTAATAGCCATAGAAGTATTTTCACCATTTCTGTTTATCTCCTGTGGATGCACATGTTTTTTGTCTGAATTCATACATTCATGTTCATCTGTTACTAGATGACTTTGGAGGAAGAGAAAGAAGTAGTTCATGATTTTCTCTTTCTTTTAATTTCAGGAACTGAAAGATGACTTGAAGGGTGATCTCTCTGGCCACTTCAAGGGTCTCATGGTAGCCCTGGTGACCCCACCGGCTGTGTTCGATGCAAAACAGCTGAAGAAATCCATGAAGGTATGAGCCGTCCTCAGGCCGTTTCTGCCTCGGATTTGATGATCAGAAAGGGTGTCTTTCTTCCAGTGCACACTTGAGCACATGCTTGGTTGCTCAGTCATGCCCGACTCTTTGTGACCCCGTGGACTGTAACCCGCCAGCCTCCTCTGTTCATGGGCTTCTCCAGGCAAGAATACTGGAGCGGGTTGCCATTTCCTTCTCCAGGGATCTTGCCGACCCAGGGATTGAACCTGAGTGTCTTGTGTCACCTACATTGTCACGCGGGTTCTTTACCCCTGCAACACCGGGGGAGGTCCACGCACTTGAAGTATGGGAGTCAGTATGATGGATGTGGAGATTCTGTGATCTCCAGTTGTTAGAACAACCCTGAAATGGGAAGCAGTTGTGGAACCTTAAGCCCACATGTTCCTAGCCTGAAAGGATATTGTCCAATTTTGTTTTTTTGATCTGAGGAGTCAAATTCTCTATTTTGTTGTCATTGAGAGTTAGTGGCCCCATTATTAACCCCATTGCCTCGGCCCCAAACATAGAACTATCCTTGATCCCTCACTTCCTCTCACACTTCAAAGCTACCAAATTTTTTTTTTCAGAGAAGCTCAGCTCTCTACTTAATTAAGGCTGTTTGACTGATTGAATTAGGCCTGCTTAGAATATCTAAGATGCTCCCCCATAACGTCGATCGATAATGGACTGTAACTGCAAAATACCTTCACAGCAACACTAGATTAATGTTTGAATAACTGAGGACTGTAGCCTGGCCAGATTGACACATAAAACTGATCATCACACCCTCTCCTCCGCTGCCCAGCACCCCAATTCATTGTTGTAGCTGTTACTGGCTTTGTTACTGCTTTGTGGCCATTCTCAGCTTATTCCTTTTGAAGTCTTTGTACACGGTGTTCTTTCCATCTGGAACACTATCCTTCCAGATGTTTTCTATTAATTCACTCAGTTTAATTTCCTTAATTGCACCTATTACCATCTAAAATTATCTTGTTGATTTTTTGGTCCATTTCCGTATTATTTTTTCCAGGGAACAGGGAAACTTTGATCATATCAGGGAACCTCATCCCTCTAGGAACCTCTCTGGTTCTAAAGAAAACCCTGTGATGAAATAGATGCTTGACATACGAATGAGTTCCGAGAGTGAGTTCGTAAAGTCCAATTCGTTCGTAAATCCAACAAAGTGAGCCTAGGTATCCAACTAACTATCAGCTATATAGTACTATACTGTAATAGATTTATAATACTGTTCACACAGATAATACATAAAAAACAAACACAAGGAATAGAACAGTTTTAATCTTAGAATATTAAAACCTTGAAATGTACAGTAGTGCAGTGTGAAAGTTGGCATACAGGGGCATGTTCAAGTCTTTGAAAGTTTGCAACTTGAAGGTTTGTGTGTAGGGGACTTACTGTATTTGTTGACCTGAAGGAGGGGAAGGAAGAAGTCTAGTTCTGAGGCAAGACCATCTTCTGCCTTCCCATCAAAGATAATCAGTTTCTTTTCTGTGGAAGAAGTATAGGTACCCACGAAGTGGATGGCGAGAGGTGCAAGAGTTATATTGGGTGAAACGCTTGCAAAAGATAAGAGACAGCAGGGTAGGTGGGGTGAAACTGCTGACTACAGTACAGGTGTGACCCCTGTGAATGGAGAGAGGGAAGGAAGGAGGCTCAGGCAGGAAGAGCCTCCATCTACAGCGCTGCTCTGAGGAAGCCGTGGCAGGCCGGTGGGGAGCCCTGAGCAAGGCGTGCCCTTTGGAGGAGTCACATGGGGTGGGATGGTGGCCCAGCTTCAGTTCCCCTTCCATGCTCAGTCATGGCTGAAAGCAGCCTGGAGAGACCATGATCTTGCTGTGAATTTTATGACAGATCCAAAGGTTGGAAGCTATCAGCCAGCTACGTTCTTTGCAGTATGTTCTCTTGAAATGAAATCTCAGCAGTGTGTTTCTGTGGCTGCTACATGGGGGATGGCTTAGCAGGTGAAATGGTGAGAATTAGATTAGCCAACAAGGATTAGAAATTTTCCCTCCATGTAAAAGAAATCCTAAGGAGGCCATCCATAGCTCAGTATCATGGCACCATCATTATCAGACCTTCAGTCTTGAGGTTCTACCATCTTCAGCCTGTAGATTACACTTCTTGTCTAGATGGCTGCTCAACATCCAGCCATTATACCTTTATTCAGGCAACTGAAAAGAGTGAAAGACCAAGAAGTGTTCATCTTTTCTTTTTACAGACTCCCAGAAATTGTACGTGAGGCATATCATGTATTTCATGGATCAGAATTTAGTTATATAGATAAACCTAGCTCTAAGGGAAGCTGAGAAATATGGTCTTTATTTGGGTGCATGTGTGGCTAAGTCACTTCATTTGTGTCCACCTCCTCTGTCCATGAGATTCTCTAGGCAAGAATACTGGAGTGGGTTGCCATGCCTTCCTCCAGGGGATCTTCCTGACCCAGGGATCAAACTCACATCTCTTGTGTCTCCTGCCTTGGCAGGCAGGTTCTTTACCACTGAGCCATCTGGGAAGCCACTTTATTTGGGTAGTTTTGTGCTAAGTTTAAAAATGGGGATTCTATCAATGATGAAAACAGAAATATTGGATCTGCTCAATTTTGCTGTAAACCTAGAACTGCTCTAAAATGAATCAGGAGCTTGGGATTAACATATGCACACTAATGTATAAAAGATAGATACCAGCAAGAGCCTACTGTATAGCCCAGGGAGCTTTACTCAATATTCCATGATAACCTATATAAGAAAAGAATCTGAAAAAGAATGTATATATGTTTATGTATAACTGAATCACTTTGTTGTACACCTGAAACTGACATAGCATTGCACTCAACTACAATAAAGTTTTAAAAAGAAGGAAAACAACCCCCCCCAAAAAAAAGTCTATTTAAAAATAATAAGATAAATAAGTTGAAAAGGAGATCTATTGGGGACCACTGGGAATCTTTGCCACAGAGGGACACAATTCAGCCTCTTTTCTTATACCACTTTGACCTGCTTTAATCAAGTCCTAGTGTAAATGGCTTCTACAGTGTGACTCTGACCTCAATATAAACCAAGACTCAGGAATCACTAGCCTCTAAACCAGCTGGGCTCATGGTCTCATACAATATCGAGGCTTTAAAAACCTCCCCAATGAAGAGGATGATGCCTGCTGACCAGTGCAGTGTATAGGCACAAGGATGAACTCATTTAGAAGAATCTCAGAGCCCTCTCTAAATACAATGACACATTCGAATGCTCAACTTCGATCCTGAATGATGTAAGCTTTCCCTTTATCCTCTTTCCTCCTGGAATTAGTCAATGAATTTTTACACTGCAGCAGGATATTTTCTTTAAAATTTTAATGTCAGTTAACTTTAGATGATTCATGTTATTTTAATACTAAAATATACAGAGAATTTAAAAACTGGTTTAGAGCAAGCGATTGACGAAAAACGATTCTTCTGTGTAAAACAAGATATTGAGACGGAAGTGCATAAAACTGAGTTTTTAAAGTGTTCTAAAAATAGTTTTCCACGAGACTTCCCTGGTGATTCAGTGGTTAAAAATCTGTCTTTCAGTGCAAGGGAGATGGGTTCGATCTCTGGTCCAGGAACTAAAATCCCACATGCAGTGGGGCAACTAAGCTGGCATGCCACAACTAGAGATCCTGAATGCCACAACTAAGACCCAATGCAGCCAAATAAATAATTTTTTAAAAATAGTTTTCCTTTTTCTTTCTAGGGCACGGGAACAAATGAAGATGCTCTGATCGAAATTCTAACTACTAGGACGAGCAAGCAGATGCAGGAGATCGGCCATGCCTACTATACAGGTGATCTTATTTTCTGCTCACCTTTACCCCTGTTCACACCTATATAAGCCAATGCTATTTTCCCCCAGAAACCCACCAAGCTCTTCTTCATGAGTGATTTTGAGAAGGCAAGAGTATAAACAGGAGGACACATTCTAAGATGGGCTAAGGAGTGTGGATGTTCAAAGAACATTTTAGTATGATCTGAGCTAGAAGCTGCTACACAGCAATGGCATTAATGCTTTGCATGTATAACATTACACCTCTAGTGGATTTTGCTCTCAGCAATTACTGCTTAATTGAATCAAGCATTTTCATCAATGGAACAGACTCAAATCATTGTATATTCATACGACATGTTAAAAACACTGGGCTTAGCCTCATGATTTTTGGTGTGGGAAATTGTGTGTGTGTGTGTGTGCTCAGTCGTGACTAACTTTTGGTGATCCGATGGACTGTAGCCTGCCAGACTCCTCTGCCCATGGAACTTTTCAGGCAAGAATGCTGGAGTGGGTTGCCATTTCCTACTCCGGGGCACCATCAAGACTGGTGGCGTGAAGACATATACTGGGAAAAGTCTGGGAGGGTCCCGAACACAGAGCATGCAGGTCTACAAGGTGCATTCCCCTCCCAGCAGAGTGATGTATCAATGGGTTTTCAGTGGGGTTTTATCACACATGCATGGTTTTTGGTTATTTTTTAGAAACTAAGCAACAGAACATTTTACTTACTTATTTAGTTTTGGCTGCACTGGGTCTTCTTGCTTCGTGCAGGCTTTCTCTAGTTGCAGCAGTCAGGGGCTACTCTCGATTGGGCTTCATGGGCATCTCACTGCGGTGGCTCTTGTTGCAGAGCATGGACTCTAGAGCGTGCAGGCTTCAGTAGTTGTGGCACATGGGCTTAGGTGCCCCGTGGCATGTGCAATCTTCCCGGACTGGGGATCGAACTTGTGTCCCCTGCATTTCACTGCACGTGGATTCTTACCCACGGGACCACCCAGGAAGTCCTGCACAGGCGTGATTGACTCCATCACAGCCATGTGACTGAACTCCATCTCTAGTCCCCTCCTCCCCACCAGAGGTCAGGCTGATATCACATAAAGCCTTAACCCTTTAGTCACCAAGTTGATCTTTCTCGTATGACCCAGCACCATCTGGAGTCATCTTGTTAGCATAAACCACTCAGCTGTGGTTCAAGGGACCCTCCATGAATAACAATGATATTCCTATTGGGGAAATTCTGAGTGTTTAGAGGTTAGCTGCAAAGAGCAAGGGACAGTGACCAGCCCAATTCTTATTAAACAACAGCTCTCTGTCACCCCCTCCAAGTACCTTAAGGGAGCCATGGTTTCTATGGTTTTGTATCATGGGGGCTTTTGCGGTGGGAGAGAGCAAAAGGAGGGATATACCTGTCCCCAGGTGGGTGTTAGAGAGGTTACTTTGAGAACTTCTCATTAGAATGTAGATCCCTCAATGATAGGTGACTGTTTTATTGTTAATGTGCTAATCAGGTCTAGTCAGAAAACCAGAAACACACTAGGTGCTTTAACAGAGAGAATTTTAATATCAAGAATTGTTTAAGCACCTTCTGGAAAACTGAAAAAGTGGAACAGAAACACAGGGGAGGCTCAGAAGTGTAACCCTCAAGGCCGGGATGAGATTTGGGTTTTTAGAAACTGGCTCAGAGGAGTTGCTGGTACTTTCCGGTGTTGGTACTAGGTTGGCCAGAAGTCTGTTCCGGTTTTTCTGTAATATTTTATGGGAAAACCCAAACAAACTTTTTGGCCAGCCCAATACTTCAGGGGTTCAGAGGAGAGGCCCCAGGGATTGGAGTTCAGATCTCCGTGGAGGGGAAGGGAGCTCCATCTCACTAAGGCTATTACCTTCATGTGATAGCCTTGTAATAGCATGTAAACAGGCGACTTGTTCTAGGAGCCTGTAGCCAACTGCTGCTATCGGAATGCCTCTCTTCACCAGGTTAACACTGTCCTTCCTTCCTTCCTCCTTCTGCCTTCCATCTGATCTCCCTCTCCTCCCCTCATTGGTGGAATCTGAGAGGGAGGTGGGGTGTGGGGGACAAAAGAGAAATCTGATTTGTAGAGTCCCACCCCTAGCTCCACAAATCAAGGTCTAGCGGGGCAAATTTGGGGTAGAATGAGACCGTTGCTCAAAAATAGGCATAGATGGGTACATGGTAGGTGTTTAATGTCTTTGATTCCCTCAGTTCAACAAGATGTACTTGTAAAAAATCACCAGACCCCAGGGCTGTATCCCAAGATGCTGTCTTGCTTTTTGGTATCTGTTAGAAGAGTTACCACTCCATGAGATGACTGACCCCAAAATTCTCCCTGAAGTTCAGCATTTATTTATGTACAAACAGCCCTGCGGTGTAATCTCTATGAAGGGGGAATTTTTGTCTGTTTTGCTCTATGTTTTATCTCCAGTGCTCAGAATATTTATTGAATGGATATCCTTAAGATTGAGATAGGGGACCTCAAGAGCCAAATGAATGGGACTATTGTTTTGCAAATATGACAAGTGATCCTTGTTCAAGGTTATCAGATGCCCTCGGTATCTGTGTGAGTTAAGCTCTCCAAAGCTAGAAAGAATTAAACTATATCTAGCTTCCCTTGGTAAGTAGGGATTCATGATACACAAGAATTGAGAGAAGGAAATAGTAAAAGAAGGCAGAGAGCTAGAGCCCGTAGTCTCAATCACGTAGAGCCGAGCTGATACAGGACCCAGAACTTTGCTAGGGACTCAGCCGTCCGCTCACTCCCTTTGTGTCAGGGAAGGGACGCCCATGGCTCCTCTGCACATCCCCATCCGAGCAACTCTTTCCCCTCCTTCTCTGCCTCTACTGATCTTCAAGAGACCAAGTAACATTTCTTCGCTCACCACATGGTATGTGTCTCCTCAAAGCTTGCATTTGCTCACGGTTTCTGATTTTGTCTTGGCTTCAGTTTTATGCTTTATTTCTGGGAGTCTTTCCACTTCATTGTTAGTCTTTTTAAAAACTTCTGTACAGCTCACTCTGTAACAGAGAAGATTCAGTGGGCTCAGAAAGGCGCTTTCTTTTGGGCAGAGTTCTCCTACCAGATCACCTCGTAGGCTGCTGGCTCCCTCTAGTCAGAGGCCAACCCTGTTGCAGTCAGCTGTAGTGAGAGTAATGGCGTCGTATAATGTGAAACAGTGACCTATGTGTTAGAAATCCATCAGACGAACTGTCAACGTGGCCCTCGTAAAGGGACCAGGTATATGGAGTGGCTTGTACAGTACAGTGATACAATAACACTTCAAGGAATAGAGATCTAAGTTCTGAACTCTTCCCAGTGTTTTAAAGTCAACGGTGCGTGAGAGAACACTGAATCAGGAATCAGAGCTCTAACTTCTGCATTATTAAGACACTGTATTTGTTTATCTGTACCCTCAGTTCAGTTCAGTTGCTCAGTCATGTCCAACTCTTTGCAACCCCATGAACCGCAGCACGCCAGGCCTCCCTGTCCATCACCAACTCCCGGAGTCCACCCAAACCCATGTCCATCGAGTCGGTGATGCCATCCAACCATCTCATCCTCTGTCATCCCCTTCTCCTCCTGCTCTCAATCTTTCCCAGCATCAGGGTCTTTTCAAATGAGTCAGCTCTTCACATCAGGTGGCCGAAGTATTGGAGTTTCAGCTTCAACATCAGTCCTTCCAGTGAACACCCAGGACTGATCTCCTTTAGGACGGACTGGTTGGATCTCCCTGCAGTCCAAGAGACTCTCAAGAGTCTTCTCCAACACCACAGTTCAAAAGCATCAATTCTTCAGTGCTCAGCTTTCTTTATAGTCCAACTTTCACATCCATACATGACTACTTGGAAAAACCATAGCCTTGACTAGACAGACCTTTGTTGGAAAAGTAATCTCTCTGCTTTTTAATATGCTGTCTAGGTTGGTCATAAGTTTCCTTCCAAGGAGTAAGGGTCTTTTAATTTCATTGCTGCAGTCACCATCTGCAGTGATTTTGGAGCCCAGAAAAATAAAGTCAGCCACTGTTTCCATTGTTTCCCCATCTACTTCCCATGAAGTGATGGGACCAGATGCCATGATCTTAGTTTTCTGAATGTTGAGCTTTAAGCCAACTTTTTCACTCTCCTCTTTCACTTTCATCAAGAGGCTCTTAAGTTTTTCTTCACTTTCTGCCATAAGGGTGGTGTCATCTGCATATCTGAGGTTATTGATATTTCTCCCGGCAATCTTGATTCCAGCTTGTGCTTCCTCCAGCCCAGTGTTTCTCATGATGTACTCTGCATATAAGTTAAATAAGCAGGGTAACAATATACAGCCTTGACATATTCCTTTTCTTATTTGGAACCAATCTGTTGTTCCATGTCCAGTTCTAACTGTTGCTTCCTGACCTGCATACAGGTTTCTCAAGAGGCTACTATGCCCCAAAATGCATAAAGTAGTTTTCAACTTTCATTGAAAAAAATTTTCATATTTTTAGTCTAATTTCCTACAAAAAATACCTGGGGTAAAAAGGAGGTGTGGAAGATTGCATGAGTCTCATCTAGATAATTCTAATATTATAAAATACTTCTCCAAATTCTAACAAATCAGAGTATCATCCTTAGGCTTTATATTTTTAAATTAAAATTTTTTTTCTAAGAGTGAAGGATAGGTGTAACAATAACATATGAGTGTTGGGGGAAATGATGCCTACTAAATGTTGTTATTACTTAGATAAATAATCTATATTTACAGTGGATTTTGTTTACTTGAATTGCTCTGGAAAATTATAGAATTCATTAAAGAGACTTACTAAAATCATACTGAAAAAATTTCTCTCTCAACAGTTGTTAAGATTAGATGATCTCAAATCATTTTCTTTCTTTAAATTTGTTTTTGGCTCCACTATGTCCTTGTTGCTACACTCGGGCTTTCTCTAGTTGTAGTGCGTGGGCTTCTCATTGCGGTGACTTCACTTGTTGCAGCTCATGGGCTCTAGAGCGTGGGGTCAATTGTTGCAGCACCCCACAATTTAGTTGCCCCTCGATATGTAGGATCTTTCTGGGCCATGAATCAAACCCACATCCCCTAACCACTGGGCCACCAGGGAAGTCCTCATGTCACTTTCTGTAGTTGTCCTTCACTGATTTAAAAGGATAAGTATTCATATGACTGATTTATAGAGTTCTTGAGAATGAGGCAGGCAGAGTTCAAATAGCCCCATGGTGTCAGCTGCATCCAGGTATACAAGTGGCTCAAAGAGAAATAGTACTCTGTGGGTGGAACAGAACAGAGTTTTGAGATGCACGGAACACTACACATCACAGGTTATGTAAAAAGGGCTACAACTAGTTGGTACTAAAATATGTGAACACACAGTTGACATTTGTTATGGAAAAGCAGTATGTTTTAGGGTAGCTTTCTTTCTTTTGAGAGCTATCAGATAATACAACCTAGTTGTATGCATTAAGATTTGAGATAGGTAATACAGCAAAAATAACAGTGACTTTAGTAAGATAAATATTTATTTCTTTCATATATGGAAGTCTGGACATAAGAAATTCTAGGACTGGTATGATAGCTCCTCAGAACTTTCAGGAACCCAGACCCCTTCCTGCTTATGTTTATGCCATCACTCAGAGGTACTTCTTCACAGACCAGGATGGATGCCTGAGCTCCAGCAATCAATCAAGCAGTAGGAAGGAGGAAGGCACGAAGATGGACATGAGCCATGATTAAGGAGATTGCCCAGCAGTGTCCTAAAGGTCTGCCTGCATCTCATGCCAAGAGGAGAGCTGAGAATGTGGTCTTTAAGCTGTGTGTACTATGTCTTACTTAAGGCCAGGTTTCTGTTCCTGTGGAAGAAAGATGTAATAGAAACTGGAAAGCAAACTAACAGCTTGGCCACCCTAGCTTTCTCACCATACATTTCTTAGTGCCACAGTCAGATGGAATGAACCATGATTAGATCCAGGAGAGCAGCTTTTTTTGTGTGTGTTCTTGCGCTACTACCACACCACACACTATAGTAATAGTTATAAGAAGAATTTATCTATTGCAGAAGGGCAGTAAAAGATTAAGAAAAGCAGCAGCAAGATTTATTTTATCAGGTACTCATCCCTTGCCAATGTTGACATTTAAGCTTTTTTGTTTTATAATAATATTTTTAGCTTATCAAGGCTTAGTTTCATTCTTATCTGGTTTCAGTGTACAAGAAGAGTCTTGGAGATGAGATTAGCTCTGAAACATCTGGTGATTTCCGGAAAGCTCTGTTGATTTTGGCAAATGTAAGTTTTTATTTTTCATTTTCCAACTCCCCAATAAGATACATGCTCAATAATGATTTTTAGGAAGTTTTCAAACAACCAAACTGAGGCAGTGAGATTGAAATTTTTCTTATGAAATGATTTGTTCATTTTACATTTGCATCACCACCATACAGCATAATATTTAACTACTATCATAAAAGTATAACATAATGAGTAGCCAAAAAATCTTGTTTTGATCAGTATATGGATTAAATGTATTTTGATCAAGGTTTGTAATACATTAGAAAATATTCTGTAAGTTCATCTGGGCTTCCCTGGTGGCTCAGATAGTAAAGATGCCTGCAATATGGGAGACCTAGGTTCAATTCCTGAGTCGGGAAGATCCCCTGGAGGAGGGCATGGCAACCCACTCCAGTATTCTTGCCTGGAGAATCCCGTGGACAGAGGAGCCTGGCGGGCTACAGTCCATGGGGCTGTGAAGAGTTGGACACAACTGAGCAACTAAACATACACACAAGTTCATCTGGAAGAAAAATCATTTATTTCCATTGTAAGTGTCTCTATGTTTAAGAACATGCTGATTTTCTTCTGAACTCCAAAGAATATTTAACTTTTGGTAGCATTTAAATTAAGTAGGAAGCATAATAGAGAAGAATTACCTTCAGAGAAGGGTATATCAGTCTCAGGACTTAAAAAGTGACTTTCTGCAACTTCATCCTTGCCCTCTTTGGAAGAGCCGCTAAACCATTCATCACCATGTGACCAAAATGTGGCCACACCTTGCTATCTCCTTTTATGATGCTCATGGCTTTATAAAAAAGATGGTAAGGTCAAGATGGGCACAATAAAGGACAGAAATGGTATGGACCTAACAGAAACAGAAGATATTAAGAAGAGGTGGCAAGAATACATAGAAGAACTGTACAAAAAAGGTCTTAATGACCCAGATAATCACAATAATGTGGTCACCACCTAGAACCAGACATCCTGGTGTGTGAAGTCAAGTGGACCTTAGGAAGCATTACCATGATCAAAGCTAGTGGAGGTGATGGGATTCCAGCTAACCTATTTCAAGTCTGAAAAGATGATGCTGTGAAAGTGCTGCACTCAAAATGCTAGCAAATTTGGGAAACTCAGCAGTGGCCACAGGACTGGAAAAGGTCAGTTTTCATTCCAATCCCAAAGAAAGGCAATGCCAAAGAATATTCAAACTACTGCACAATTGCACTCATCTCACATGCTAGTAAAGCAATGCTCAAAATTCTCCAATTCAGGCTTCAACAGTATGTGAACTGAGAACTTCCACATGTCCAAGCTGGATTTAGAAAAGGCAGAGGAACCAGAGATCAAATTGCTAGCACCCAGTGGATCATTGAAAAAGCAAGAGAGTTCCAGAAAAACATCTACTTCTGGTTTATTGACTATGCCAAAGCCTTTGACTGTGTGGATCACAACAAACTGTGGAAAATTCTTCAAGTGATGGGAATACCAGACCACCTGACCTGCCTTCTGAGAAACCTGTATGCAGGTCAGGAAGCAACAGTTAGAACTGGACATGGAACAATGGATTGGTTCCAAATAGGAAAAGGAGTACATCAAGGCTCTATATTGTCACCCTGCTTATTTAACTTGTATGCAGAGTACATCATGAGAAACACTGGGCTGGAGGAAGCACAAGCTGGAATCAAGATTGCCAGGAGAAATATCAATAACCTCAGATATGCAAATGACACCACCTTTATGGCAGAAAGTGAAAAGGAACTAAAAATCCTCTTAATGAAAGTGAAAGAGGAGAGTGAAAAAATTGGCTTAAAACTCAACATTGAGAAAACTAAGATCTTGGCATCAAGTCCCATCACTTCATGGGAAGTAGATGGGGAAACAATGGAAACAGTGACAGACTTTATTTTCTTGGGCTCCAAAATCACTGCAGATGCTGATTATAGCCATGAAATTAAAAGACACTTGCTCCTTGGAAGAAGAACCTTGACACACCAAACGGCATATTAAAAAGCAGAGACATTACTTTGCTAACAAAGGTCCAAGTAGTCAAAAGCTATGGTTTTTCCAAGTAGTCATGTATGGATGTGATAGTTGGACAATAAAAAAGATTGAGCACCGAAGAACTGATGCTTTCAAACTGTGGTGTTGGAGAAGACTCTTGAGAGTCCCTTGGACTGCAAGGAGATCAAACCAGTCCATCCAAAAGGAAATCAGTCCTGAATATTCATTGGAAGGACTGGTGCTGAAGCTGAAACTCCAATACTTTGGCCGCCTGATGGGAAGAACTGACTCACTGTTCAAAGACCCTGATGCCAGGAAAGATTGAAGGTGGGAAGAGAAGGGGATGACAGAGGCTGAGATGGTTGGATGGCATCACCAACTCAATGGACATGCGTTTGAGTACAGGGAAGCCTTGTGTGCTGCAGTCCATGGGGTCACAAAGAGTGGGACACGACTGAGCGTCTGCACTGAACTGAACTGAAGGTCAGGGATGAGATACAGTCATAGATGTGTGTAAAAGGGGCTTCCCAGGTGGCACTAGTGATAAAGAGCCCACCTGCCAATGCAGGAGACATAGGAGATACAGGTTTGATCCCTGGCTTGGGAAGATCCCCTGGAGGAGGAGATGGCAACCCACTCTAGTATTCTTGCCTGGAGAATCCCTTGGACAGAGGAGTTTGGCTGGCTATAGCACATAAGGTCTCAAAGAGTTGGACACAACTGAAGCAGCTTAGCATGCACGCACTCATGTGTGCAAGAGAAGAAATGACTTAAGCCCTATCTCAACAGCCTCTTTCAGCTGAGTTACACACCCCTTAATGTGTAGGAAAATCCCAATCACTGTCCCAGCCTGAGGGTCGAGGCAACACTTGTCATTATGCCACTAGGGAACAATTTATCCTAATTATAGTTTCAGTTGTTTCCAATGGCGAAAGCCTTTTGAAGTTTGAACCTATAAATACAAGTTGGTGAGACATGGCTGCAAACAGACAGTCCCACATGTCAGTATGCATAAGTGTATGTGTGGTGAGCACACACGCCCACAGGAGGCAGTGGTGAGCAGGGCTCCTGGGCAGTTTCAGAATCGGGCCTGGACTCTCCTACCCCTCTGCTGCCTACCAGCTCTATGTACTTAGACAAGTTACTTTAACTCAAGCCTTAAAGCCTGCATTTCACATCCGTACGGTTAAAATAATAGTATTACCAACCACAGAGGGTGCTGTGAAGATACAGAAAGAGAGAGTATGAATAACAGCACAAAGTCATTGATACGTGGTGGTGGCGGCTTATTGGAATTAATGCCAGTGATCATCAACACTTGTATTATTGAAACAGAGTGAATGATGAAAGGAGAACAAGAAAGCAGCAAACCGGAGAAGGCTAGTTGGAGCAGAGTAGCAGCAGCACTGGAAGCAACAGAGAAAAGAAATCATGCAAAAGTCAGGCAGGCATACAAAGACCTAATACTTGCAAATAGGCATAAATATATTTTTAAGTTTTTTGTTCATTATTTATTTATACTGAAGCATTATTATACTGAGGCATAATTGCTGAATTGATGCTTTTGAACTGTGATGTTGGCGAAGACTCTTGAGAGTCCCTTGGACTGCAAGGAGATCCAACCAGTCCATCCTAAAGGAAATCAGTCCTAAATATTCATTGGAAGGACTGATGCTGAAGCTGAAACTGCAATACTTTGGCCAGCTGATGCGAAGAACTACTTATTGGAAAAGACCCTGATGCTGGGCAAGGTTGAAAGCAGGAAGAGAAGGGGGACGACAGAAGCTGAGATGGTTGGATGGCATCACCAACTCAATGGACATGAGTTTGAGCAAGCTCTGGGAGTTGGTGATAGACAGGGAGGCCTGGCATGCTATAGTCCATGGGGTCACAAAGAGTGGGACATGACTGAGTGACTGAACTGAACTGAACTGAACTCCATTTATAGTTATCATAAAATATTGACCTTATTTCCTGTGTTGTGCAGTGTATCCTTATAGCTTATTTTATACCTAATAATTTATATCTCTTATTCCCCTACCCCTATAACGCCCCTGCTCCCTTCCCTTTCCCCACTGGTAACCACTAGTTTAGAACAAATGCATTTTTTAAAGTATTATAGCCAAAAGTTTCATTCACCTGTAATTTGCAAAATAATTCAGGCAATCTTCTTTCTTTCTCCATCTTCCATCTTCTGTAATGTCTTGAATTATTTATGTGCAAGCACACACACTTAGCCATAGAGCCTTCAACAGTAGAGTTAGTGGGGAATCCTTGAGTTTGGGGTTTATTTGACTACTTTATTTTTAGAGCAGTTTTAGATTTCCAGAAAAATGCAGCAGAAGCTACGGAAACCTCCCACATGCCCCTCCTCCTTGCACACATCTTGCGTTAGCATGGTACGTTGGTTATAGTTGATGAATGAATTAAATGATAAATGAATTAGATGATGATTACATGATGAATGAATGAACTGACACATTATTAACTAAATTCTGTACTTTACGTTAGGATTCACTCTTTGCGTTATACATTCTATGGGTTTGGACAAATGTTTAATGTCTTGTGTCCACCATTACAAAGTCATATGGAATAGTCTTACTGCCCTAAAAATCTGCGCTTCAGCCATTCATCCCTCTGTTTCTCCCTCTGAACCTCTGGTAACCAGTGATCTTTTTATCTCTATAGTTTTGCCTTTTCCCGGTGGTCCTATAGTTGAAATAATACAGTGTATAGGCTTTTCAGACTGCATCATTTCACGGCTTAATAACTCATTTCCTTTTTTTTTTTCATCACTGAGTGCTATTTCACTGTGGGTTTCCCAGGTGGCTCAGTGGTAAAGAATTCACCTACCAATGCAGGAGACCTGTGTTCAACCCCTGGGTCAGAAGGATCCCCCTTAGAAGGAAATAGCAACGCACTCCAGTATTCTTGCCTGGGAAATCGCACGGACAGAGGAGTCTGGTGGGCTCCAGCTCACGGGGTTACAAAGAGTCGGACACGACAGAGAGAGAGAGATGTTGTTGATCTTCTTTTGATGTACTTTCTCGCCATCTGTGTATCTGATATCTATCAGATAATTTTCCCATTTTTAATTGGGTTATTTGTTCTCTTTTTGTCAAGTTTTAAGAGCTTCTATGTATTTTAGATACAAGTCCTGTATATCTGATACATATCTGATGTGTTTGCATACATTTTCTCCCAAGGTGTGGCTTGTCTTATGATTCCCTGAAGACCTTGAGTTTCCAGAGAAGGAAACTCGTGCTCAGAAGACTGTAGGGATTTGCTGCAGATTTCACGGCTAGTCAGCGGCAGGGCCAGAAAGAGAGCTGTGAGTGATCAATTCCTTTGGACCATGTGGTCCTCACTGGAAGAAACAGCTCTAAGAGGCCCCGCGGGTTCAAATGCCAAATGATGGAATATATATCTTTAAAAAGACTGCCTTCATTTTTATCTTCTCTGATTAGGGCAGAAGAGATGAGAGTCTAAAAGTGGATGAGCAGCTGGCCAGAAAGGATGCTCAGGTCAGTAACAGCAGAGAAGACATCTCCTTGAACTCTCCTCCTGACTGCCTTCTTACATCTCCGGCATCAGCTGGGGCCGTGCTGTCTTCTTCTCTGTCTGAAGGAGAAGCCTGAAGCCCAGCGATGCTTTAGCTCCATCTTTCTGCCTACCCCAGTGCTGGTTATTATTCCCCTGGCTCCTGCCACTTCGACTGTCAGATTTTTCTGCTAGAAGTGAAAGACACGGCTTATCGAAGACCTCAATGACCTGTAAAATAAACTTACCCCTCTTCTCATCCCACCTCCTCAAAAAAAGACAGAGTTGGGTTCGTACTAGCATTTACGTCTTCTCTCTTGTCCAACAGATTCTCTATAACGCTGGTGAAAAGAGATGGGGCACGGATGAAGATGCCTTCACTGACATCCTGTGTCTAAGGAGCTTTCCTCAATTGAAACTGAGTATGGACTCACATTACAATCTTTTTTTCTTTTCTCTGAATTGTGTTGTTTTTGCAAGTATTTCTGGGTTTAATATACATAATTCTGGAAAATGAAGTTAAAAGTGGTGAAGGCAAAAAAAAAAAAAAGTGGTGAAGGCAGTCCCATTTTTATGTACAGACATTTCAGAACACAACCTGGGGAAGCTGTGCTCCAACTCAAGGGAGAATCAACATTGCTCAGGTTTTACCCTCGGAGCTGAGTAGATTACCTGTGTGTTTAGTCACTCAGTCGTGTCCAACTCTTTGCAACTCTTTGGACTGCAGCACGCCAGACTTCCCTGTGCTTCACCATCTCCTGGAGCTTGCTCAAACTCAGTCCATTGAGTCAGTGATGCCATCCAGCCATCTCATCTTCTGTTGTACCCTTCTCCTCCTGCTTTCAATCTTGCCCAGCATCAGGGTCTTCCCCAATGAATCAGTTCTTTGCATCAGGTGGCCAAAGTATTGGAGCTTCGGCTTCAGCATCAGTCCTTCCAATGAATATTCAGGACTGATTTCCTTTAGGATGGACTGGTTTGATCTCCTTGCAGTCCAAGGGGCTCTCAAGAGTCTTCTCCCAACACCACAGTTTGAAAGCATCAGTTCTTCAGTGCTCAGCCTTTTTTATTGTCCAGTTCTCACATCCATGCATACTACTGGAAAAACCATAGCTTTGGCTAGATGGACCTTTGTTAGCAAAGTGATGTCTCCGCTTTTTAATATGCTCTCTTGGTTTGTCATAGCTTTTCTTCCAAGGAGCAAAGTTTTTTAATTTCATGGCTGCAGTCACCATCTGCAATGACTTTGGAGCCCAAGAAAATAAAGTCTGTCACTGTTTCCATTGTTTCCTCATCTGTTTGCCCTGAAGTGATGGGACTGGATGCCAAGATCTTCAGTTTTTGAATGTTGAGTTTTAAGCTAGCTTTTTCCTTCTCTTTCATCTTCATCAAGAGGCTGTTTAGTTCCTCTTCGCTTTCTGCCATAAGGGTGGTGTTATCTGCATATCTGAGGGTTTTGATATTTCTCCCAGCAGTCTTGTGCTTCATCCAGTCCAGCATTTTGCATGATGTACTTTGCATATAAGTTAAATAAGCAGAGTGACAATATACAGACTTGATGTACTCCTTTCCCAATTTGGAACCAGTCCATTGTTCCATGTCCAGTTCTAACTGTTGCTTCTTGACCTGCATACAGATTTCTCAGGAGACAGGTAAGGTGGTCTAATAGTCCCATCTCTTGAAGAATTTTCCAGTTTGTTGTGATCCACACAGTCAAAGACTTTAGCATTGTCAATGAAGTAGATGTTTTTCTGGAATTACCTTGCTTTTTCCATGATCCAGCAGATGTTGGCCATTTGATCTCTGGTTCCTCTGCCTTTTCTAAATCAGCTTGTACATCTGGAAGTTCTCAGTTGATGTACCGTCGAAGCCTAGCTTGGAGGATTTTGAGCATTACCTTCTAGCATGTGAAATGAGTGTGTGACAGATAATAGACAGGGTGGGGTTGGCAGGGAGGAAAGGGGAGCTGCCCTCTGAGCTGAGAGCAGAGAGGAGTGTTCCTGCTGATGGCAGATCCTAAATCACGGCTTCCAGCCCCTTTCTTGCCTAGTTAGCCACTTTCCAGGAAAACCAGGCGTTACGGGTGATCTCTGTTAATGTATAAATACGGATTATCATTCAACTTTTTCTGATATGAAGGTAAATGGGTGGGGTGGGGAAGCTGTTTTTCTCAGACCAGCTATTCCATGGAACTGCTGAGCATCCACCCCTTCACTTATGCATCTCCCTGGGTCATTCTGGAAGCAACAGTACCCAGAAATCCAGAACTCCACTTCCTGTGGACAAGAACTGTATCTTCCCTGTGCTGCTCTGGAGTACCACCACGGTGCCTGACTGTGCTTACACCAAGTTCGTGGGAAAATGAGGAGACCTGGACATTGAAATTTCATCCTTTTTATAAAGTAATAGTAATAGTATATTATAGTTGCTTTATTAATGTCTTTATTTGAAAAATAAAAACCAAACAATCATAGATCTCCAAATTTTCTGTTTTCAAAATTTACTTGGAAACAATATACTTGGCTTACAAAGTATCCCTCCATGCTGGGTGATGTATGTACAGGTTTTACTTTCGGGAAATATTGACCAAGAACTTTCAGTGCCTTCCAATAAGTATGAAATAGGCTCTGTTGCCTTGGGGAGTGATTTATTCAGCACAAAGAAATCTTCACAATTAAGATTTCAGTAGCAGATTTAAAATATATTTGACTCATGACCACATTCTTGTTTCTTAGGTGCTGTTATCTTTTAAAAGTTAGCCCACCTTGCTAGAGAAATCATTTAACTTTTCAGGCTATTTTAAATGCTTACAGCCTGGGATGGGAAGGGAAGAAAGGAGAGATAGAGATAATCATTGAAGAAAATGGCCTATGAAGTTCAAGTTTTATTGTTGATGATATTTTTAAAAAGAAATTAAAAACAAAAAGTTCTGTGCTGAGTTTTTGATGGTTTAAAGAAGTGTTTGTGCTTGCTACTTAATAACATGATTTGCTGCATATCAGATCAGAAGCTAAAATATATTCAGGTGTCAACTGGGATGCTTTCAATTTTTTTGCGATGCTGCTTTTCAGCATTTGATGAATACAGAAACATCAGCCAGAAGGACATTGAGGACAGCATCAAAGGAGAATTGTCCGGGCATTTTGAAGACTTACTGCTGGCCATAGGTAAGCCCATGAGTGCTTATAAACTGAGGTACTTTGCACTTGTTTTAAATCAGTGTCAGAATCAGCTCTTTTCATCTCAGAATCCTGACTGATCCATCTTTATGCTCCCCAGAGCCCTCAGCACGGTCCATGGTACACACCATATGCTCAAATATTGTGAAATGGATGCAGGAAGATGTTCTCTGTCTAGGGCTTCCTTTGCCTTTTAACTTTGTATTTATCTTGGTACCACATTTGGATTATAAACTCCTTGAGAAAGAAAAATGTTAACTTCTACTGGCATTTTTATGGAGCCCATTGAAAACATAGATCTAAACCCAATGGTAATTAATCATGTTTGGTTATTTTTGGAAGATGTCAGTGACCTCCCAAGATTAAACTCAGGACAGAACTACAGGTCTCCTCCTTGTTGGCTGTGCGAACAGGGAGAATCAGAAAGAAAATAAGTCACAGACTGAATCTGTTCCTGGAGAGACACGTGGATTAACAAGCAGACAAAAACATGGTTGTGTAAGCTGGCCTGTCTTCCTCAGGTCTCTGCAGCCTGTGCTTTTAGGCACCCAAAGAACACCGTGCAAGAAAGATGCGTTCAGAGGAATGAGACACTCTTCAAAGACAGGACTTAGTGACCATTCTAGCCGAGTCAGGCTTGCGTGGTGCTTAGTCACTCAGTTGTGTCCCACTCTTTGTGACCCCATGGCCTGTGGCCCTCCAGGCTCCTCTGTCCATGGGATTTTTCAGTCAAAAATACTGGACTGGGTTGCCATTTTGTCCTCTAGGGGATCTTCCCGACCCAGGGATCAAACCCATGTCTCCTGTGTTTCCTGCATTGTAGGTGGATTCTTTGCCTGCAACTCAGTCTAAATGCTCATAAGCGCACAGGATTGTTCAGAATCCTAAACTTCTCCAATTTCTGGTGACTGTTGGTCTTGCTTCTCCGCTAATGCCAGGGTAGGAGTATTTGTCCTCCCCACAACTTATCATTTCACCAATGGACTGTCATATCTAACATCAATCACAATAAATAATAGCTTCTCCAGTGAGATAAAGATAGCTGATACCTAAGGGTAACCTCCAGAGTGAGGCTCTGATTCATCTTTCAAATGTTAATTACCACCTCTGGAGGGTGGAAGGTGCCTCAAATTGTACTTTTTAAATAAACACTTCTCAGGCACTTACAACATGCTCGGCATTATACTAACCTCTTGGCAAACATCAACCCAGCTAAGCCTCATGACAGTCCCGGGGGTGAGGGACTGTTATTATCCGCATAGGAGACCTGAGGAACCAAAAGGTTAAGTTCCTTTCCCAAGTTACTCAGGGAAAGTGTGGTGGAGCTGGGGTTCTAACCTAGGCATTTGGGCTCCACAGCCTGTGATGTTAACCAGCCTCTCCAATGTGCTTCTGGGGAAATGGAGATTGAAACCTGCATGTATCACCCCATCCACAGTGAAGTATTCTAAATTACAGGGAAAGTACCAGGGAGCAAGCCCTCCCTGGGGTTTGGGCTCTAGTCTCAAGATTTCCTTTGCATGTGTTATTTCATTAACTTCTGATCCTCTCTTCAGTGCCAAGAATAGGACTCTTGATCCAAATGCTGCTTTTAAAAAAAATATGTATACACACAGCCACACACACATATATATGGCTTCCCAGGTGGCACTAATGGTGAAGGACCCACTTGTAAATGCAGGGGACATGAGAGACACAAGTTCAATCCATGAGTGGAGAAGATCCCCTGGAGGAGGGCAGGCAACCCACTCCAGTATTCCTGCCTGGAGAAGAATTCCGTGGACAGAGGAGCCTGGTAGCCTAGGCTACAATCCTTAGGGTTGCACAGAGTCAGACACAACTGAAGCATCTTAGCAAGCACATGTGTGTGTGTATGTATAGGTGACTTGCTAAAAGACCAAGAAGAAATGAAAAGCTTCTTTTTCAATTAAAAAAAAATGAATCAGAGATCAGTCTCCATACTTAGCTCTGACAATATTCCAGTGTCAGTGATATAGCCAGTTAATTTTTTCATTTCATATTTTAATCTTTACATCAGTTTTGCTGCTTTTTACCTTGCCTGCTGCATTATTTGAAAAACTTTATTAAGATGTACAAATTCTCACTTCATTGAGCTAAGAAGCATTTTTGGAAATAGATGCTGAATTATGCACTAAATGTGGGCCATAGTGTGTGTTATTTTATCAACTGAAAGAAAGACTTTAAAATTTAACTAATTTAAAGTTAAAGATATGTCTCACTTTCGTTTTCTATTTCAGTCTATCACTGGAATATATTTTAAAAAAAATCTTTATTGAGATAGAACTCAAATACCATAAAATTCACCCGAAGTTTGCAATTCAGTGCTCTCTCGTTTCACAGAGCTCTGCACCTGTCACCAGAATCTAAGTTTGGGCTCTTCCCATCAGCCCTCAAAGAAACCCCACGCCCATTGATAATCACTCCCCACTCCTCCCACTACTTGCCACCACCAATTTCCTTTCTGTGTCAATAGATCTGCCTGTCCTGGCTATTTCATATACAAGGAATCTAAAACACTGTCAACACATAGCTTTTGCCACGAAAAACCATCTGAGTTCTAACATCTTAGAAATGCATGGTAGGAAGATCTCTAGTTGTCAAATCTGTACGTAGATAGGAAGAAGCTTTCTTCAAAAAGACTTTCATTAGGGAGAAGAGTTTAATCTCAGAAATGTATACAGGAGTCTGAAAATCAAACAGAAAAAAGCTTTTTTTTTTTTTTAATGGGGAAGAGATAAACAGATCTTAGCAGAAGCTTTTATTTTTTTTTTTTTTAAGGTTGATTTGTCACTGTGCTGGGTCTTCGTTGCTGCGTGGGCTTTTCTCTTCTTGTGGCACGGGGAGCTATTCTTCAGTTATAGTGTGTGGGCTTCTCATTGAGGTGCCGTCTCTTCTGGAGCAAGAACTCGAGGGTGTTCAGGCTGCAGTAGTTAGAGCTTGTGGGCTCAGTAGTCGTGGCACAGCATGTGGGATCTCCCTGGACCCAGGATTGAACCCGTGTCCCCTGCATTGGTAGGCGAATTCTTAACCACTGGACCACCAGGAAAGCCCTAGCAGAAATTTTTAAGAAGTTGGGCAAGCAAGGAGGCGGGATCGTTGGGGGTTGACAGGAAGCGTGTCTCGCCGTGTCAGCTCGTTCTTAGGACAAGCTGAATAGGAGGCATGTTTGGCATTCTGGTACTTGCTCAGTCTGGGGACCAAGTGTAGATTCAGGGGCCTGTGACAGGGGTCAGGGGAAGGCCTGAGAAAGTTTGGTCAAAAGAACACAGAGGGTAAGAAGCAGGCAACCAAGAACTCTTGATCATCATGACGAACTTCAATAGACTCCCTGGTTTTTGGGAATTTCCCTGAGTTTCCCTACTGGGGTTGAGTCTTAAAGCAGGCTTCCTTATACTGTATATGCTACCACTTCCCCAAATATTCAGACATGAGGAACAAATCTGGTAGTTAAGACCAAAAGCAAAGGACAAGATAAAGGATTATGGAAAGAAAGGATTCCCTGCATTTAGTTTGTGGGGAGCGAGATGACTGAAAGACTTAATAGGATCAAAGTGGGCATAAAAACTTTCAATCAAATGATTAAGGCTTGCTGAATATAAGTTTGAGAAAAATATAGGTAATACCAATTCACATCCTTGATTTCTTCTCAGACAGTTTCAAATCTGTAGCTGTTATCATGTTTGTCCCAAATTCCATGTTTCTAATACATTTCTCTGTTTCCCTTAAGACACAGACACAAAAGGTCTTTTCGCTTTCCTTAAAAGAGTCTGAAAGGCACTATGAGAAAGCCGCTGTTCTTGTTCTGATCTCCAAAATTCATTATAAAATTCATTCACTTTTGGTCTGCCTTCTGCCTAGAGGTCAAATTTAAGATGACACAAGTAATTGTGTGCAATAAACCGATTTATTCCCTACAGACTTTTCTAGTCCTGGCTACTTTCACTTTAAAGGATAATTTAATTGCTCATGTTTTTGCCAGTTATCTTTTATTATTATTGTTTCTGTTTTACTCATTATTTCAAAATAAAGAATTGAAAGATTTTAGTGTTTTTTTTTAATGACTGAATTTAGATTACATGCACTGGTTATAATGTAATTAATCAGTCTATAAATTCTAATTCAGTCACTTAAGAAAAAAACCTTTCTATTGGAAAAATTGGTTTTAAGCTGAGCTCCAGTGCCCCTATTTGCCTAATGAGTTATTTGGAGCAACATCTCTGCAATCTTTAGACCCAAGCTATTCATCAGTAGTCAAAGACGTTAGAAATGGTACACCCTAGGGAGTTATCAAATGTAAGCGTAGGTGTTGGTGTGTCTGGGATCTGGAAATGAGTCAGCTGCTGTGGGAGTATCTTTGGCAGGTAATTTTATTTTCCCTGTGGCTAAGGATAATTACTGTGTTAAAGTTCCATGCAAATATGACGTTATAAAGGCTTCAAAATTCAGGTTAAGCATTCATTCATTCTTTCATTCTAAAGAAAAGCTAGGAGTGGGGAGGAGGAGAGTGGTACAGTTACCCAAAAAGAATCTTTTTAATGACTGTATTACTATAGATTAACTCAATTTCTATTAAATGAAACTGAACATTACTTTGCTTTTTTATAACAGTTCGTTGTGCAAGGAACATGCCTGCCTTTTTAGCTGAAAGACTGTACCAAGCTTTGAAGGTTGGTCTGGAAATTTCATTTATATTCTTAGCTTCCTTCAAGGAAAATGTAAAAATATTACTTAATATTGATGGCATTTCCAATTTCTTTTCCATCTTGATAGAGTTCTCTTTTGTAGCTAATCTGCCTACTAATTTGGCTCATAGGTTGATAATGAGTTTCCTAATCATTACAGAGGTAGGTGCACTGAAGTGCTGACTAAATTATTTCTCCCACTTCACAGTAATGTAGGCAGTTGATTGGTTTTAGGACAACAGCCCTCAAACGTAATCCAGTGGCCTCTCACGCTGTCTTGCTTAAATCACACTGAGCTAGCAGCCTTTCATGATGTAGAAAGCCTGTATTTTCTCATCTGCTGTCACTTCTAGATGGGGAGCTCTGTGAATCTGTTCAGTTCTTTCTCGTTTATATCTTCAGGCCCTCATAGTGAGCCTGGCATGCAGAAGAAGAAGTCCATGTGCCTTTTCAAAGCTGTGTCCACAGTAAGCACAGCACTGTCGTCCCCTCCCATCCCAGCCTTGCTCCGCATCCTGCCTTCGGTCGTATCAGCGGATAACACCAGTAGGAACTAGCCTCGCCCAACTCACTGAAGTTATACCTTTCCTCCCCATCCTTGTTCTCTACAACTCAGCACATCGGCCTTCTTTCTGTTCCACGATTACTCCAAGCGTCTTCCCGTGTCAAGGTCTTGGCTTTTGTCGGGCTCTCTGCCTGGGGTGTCTCTCCTCCGGATCTATCTGTGGCTACCTCCTTCTGATCTCTGAGGTCTCAGCTCATGTGTGTCCTCCTGAGAGAGGTCTTCCCTGTCTACCCAGGTCAAATGACTTCCTTTCATTCGCGCTCCATCCCATCGTTCTCCATACCATTAACTTACTGTCCTTACTGTCCACCTCCATCAGTGAGAACTCCATGAGAGTGTGTGTCCTGTAAGCATTTGTTGAATGAATAAATGAATAGTGTCAATATCCACCTAACTGCTTAGCTAGAAATTCTATACTTCTCTCTCCCTCTTTCTTCTCAAACATCATTGTCAGTCTACCTTTACAAGCATATCTTAAATCTTATCAATTTTCTCCATCCTTACTACCATTATTGTAGGTCAGGCCATCAACATCTCTTTCTCTCTCTCCTCCCTTCTCGGTTATATAATCACTTCTGGATGGATCTCAAAGTTTCCAGTCTTATTCTGTCATCTTCATCCTACTCTTTTCCTGAAATCCATTCTTCATACTGCTGCTGTCAAAGGAAACTTCTGAAACTACAAATCTGATCTGATCTCAACACACTCATTTTTAACAGACTGCAAATAGTTCTTCACACTCAGGATGAAGTCAGAATTTCATTTCATGGTTTATAAGGTCTGGCCTTTCCAGATATATTTCTTGCTGTTCCTTCTTATTGCTTATGTATCCTTAAATTTGGTGTTATTTCTTGCCCTAAAGCGTCACGTATGCTGTTTCTTATATTGAAACACTTTTTTTTTCTCTCCATAAGAACTTCATTCCTTCTTCTCCTGGCTGACTATTTAGGCCCCAGCTTAAATCCCACTTTCTTAAACAGTCCTTTACTAATCTTTGATTAGCATATGGTAGGACTCCCTAACTATATGTTCCCATAGTACCCAATACTTCCCATATGTCAGATTTTATTGTAATGGCCCATTTTCTCACCTGTATCCTTTACAAAACTGAAAGCATAACAGGGGTGTTTCATATCTGTTTTCAGCGTTTAGCAATGCAGTGGCAGAAAATGTTTCTTGAATAAGTGAATGAGGATGTTTGATGAAAAATGAGAGGAGAGTCACTGTGGTTGAATAGTCTGTGTACCATTATCAGTGTCTCATGAATAGAGATCCACTTGTTGTTTTGTGAGCTATGAGATTGGTCACATGGACACTTGCATTTCTTAACAGGGTGCCGGGACTGATGAATTTACTGTGAACCGAATAATGGTTTCCAGATCAGAAATTGACCTTCTGGATATTCGAGCAGAGTTTAAGAAGCTTTCTGGCTACTCCCTGTATTCAGCAATTAAAGTAAGTCTCTTCTTAAAAATAGCAAAACATATCTTGCCTCTCTCTACCCGTCATCTTTCCCTTATAATCCTCAAAACATGGAAATTCATGACTTAGGTTTCTCTCTCCTTGTCAGTGTGTAAGTGTGTTTTCTGAGTTATTTGTTGGCCATAAAAAGGAGTGAATTTGAGTCGGTGGTGATGTGGATGAATCTGGAGTCTGTCGTACAGAGTGGAGTAAGTCAGAAAGAGAAAAACAAGTGCCATGTATTAATGCGTAAATATGGAATCTGGAAAAATGGTGCTGCTGGACCTATTTTTCCAGGCAGGAATAGAGATACAGAGGTAGAGAATGGGCTTGTGGCCACCAGGGGGGAAGGAGAGGGTGGAGCAAATTGGGAGAGTAGCATTGACATACATACACTTCTTGGGTGAAATAGCTAGTGGGAAGCTGCTGGGTAGCACATGGAGCTCAGCTCGGTGCTCTGTGATGACCCAGATGGATGGCATGGGGATGGGTGGGAGGTCCTTTTCAGAGGAAGGCTGTATGTGTATACATATGACTGATTCATGTTTTGTATAGTGGAAACAAACACAGCATTGTAAAGCAGTTCTGTTCCAACCTAAAGATTAAAAAGAGAAGAAAGAAACCTCAAAAAAAGAGTGACAAAATATTTCTTAAAAATAGTAATTATTTTTCAGCTCTAAAATCCTAGGTACATAAAAGGCACTCAACATTTTATTTTTTTCAGGTTTAGTGGCCACTGGTTTTTCTTCTTTTGTGAATTGCATATGCAAATTGCTTACCTGTTTTCTTATATTGCACTGGTTTAATTTATTTCAGTTATTCTTTCTGGCAGTAGAACCAAAGTATGTATTTTACATTTCCTCTTTGTTTCACACAGAAGATAACATGATTCTGCACTTTGGGGTTCTTTTCATTTCGGGAAGGAAGCTTTCTCATTCTTTTTTTTTTTAACTTTTTATTTTGCATTCGAGTATAGCCGATTGATAAACAATGTTGTGATAGTCTCAGATGAACAGTGAAAGAACTCAACCATACATACACATGTATCCATTCTCCCCCAAATTTCCCTCCTGTCCAGACTGCCACATAGCATTGAGCAGAGTTCCATGTGCCAGACAGTAGGTCCTTGTTGGTTATTCATTTTAAATACAGCAGTGTGTACATGTCCATCCTAAACTCCTTACCTGTCCCTTCCCTCCACCCTTCCACCTGCCGGCAGTCATAAGTTCAGTCTCTAAGTCTGAATCTCTTTCTGTTTTGTAAGTAAGTTCATTTGTATCATTTCTTTTTAGGTTCCATATACAAGGGATGTCTTCCAATATTTCTCCTTCTTTGTCTGACTTACTTCACTCAATATGATGCTCTCTAAGTCTACCATGTTGCTGCAAATGACGTTATTTCATTCTTTTTAATGGCTGGGTAATATTCCATTGTATGTATGTACCATATCTTCTTTATCCATTCCTTTGTCGATGGACATTTAGGTTGCTAGGAAGCTTTCTCATTCTTTTTAACAGCTGCATATCATTTCATTATTTGTATGTTTGTACCTACCACAACTTGAAACACATGTTTCAAGTTTCTTGCTATTCTAAACAACACGGTACTATACATACCTGATTTCATCAGGTGCAAGTGTATCTGAGGGATGAATGCTCAAAAGTAGGTAGGAGTGCTGACATGATGTCAGTACACCTGTAATTTCGGTTGTTGTTCAGTTGCTAGCCATGTCCAACTCTCTGTGACCCCATGGATGGCGGCACCCCAGGCTTCCCTGTCCATCACCAGCTCCAAAGACAGAGAATTTTGGTAAATGTTATCAATTGACTTCCACTGCACCTCAATTAGTCAACTAGATTTGTTCACCAAAATGATTTGTATTTTTTTTTTTTAATGAGAGCTGTTGTTTTTGTATTAAACCTTTGCAGGAAAAGATACATGCTTAAGTTGAAAAAGAAAATTTATTCGAAAAGGCAACTGTCCGGTTGCGCCTGGGGCTTAACACAGATTTCATCAACTGCTCACACTCAATGCAATTTGAATCGATTCTGACACATTACAATAGTTTCAATCAACAGAGGAAGAGACAATAATGTTAACTAAATTGTACTTACCAAGGCAGAAAAGGAGACACATACATTCTATAAAGATTTCCAGTAACAAGGTTGAAACATGAAGAGGTCCTTTGGTTCGCCCTTGGCAAACCAGAAAATTCAATTAACTTGTAGCTCTCCCTCTCCAGATGGCCTGGGTAATTGAGGATTATTGTATTAGGAAACATGTAAGCAATGTGTATCTTGATAGAAAAGGAAAATCCATTGCTGAAGAGTTCGGTGTGTAATTTAAAATTATCTTAGGTTTCTTCATTTCTGTTGCCTAACATAGATTATTAAGTAATTTAATTACATTTTCAATATTGATGAACAGAATCTTTTTGTCTATCATTCCAGCCTTGGTTTCTGAATTTCTCTTCCTTCTGCCTTTAATTTAGACATTTCTCTGCTCATTAACACGTTTCTCAGGTGATGATTGGAGGGGAGAAGAGGAAGAAAGTAGGTGAAAAACAAATGTGTGTCTCTTAATACTAAGACGTTTTAAAAAATTGGATGAAATTAGTTTTTGGTAGATTTTCTTGATCAACAAATTAAGAATCTGTCTAAAAAATAACTTGATTCCAGAGTCTTTAAGGGAAAATGTAGTGGCTATCCTCTGTTAGTTCCTGACTTATGTGTAGACTTGTGAAGTGAAGTTGCTCAGTCGTGTCTGACTCTGTGCGACCCCATGGACTGTAGCCCACCAGGCTCCTCCGTCCGTGGGATTCTCCAGGCAAGAATACTGGAATGGGTTGCCATTTCCTTCTCCAGGGGATCTTCCTGACTCAGGGATCGAACCCAGGTCTCCTGCATTGCAGGCAAATGCTTTAACCTCTGAGCCACAAAGTGGACATAAATGAAGCAATTTCAAGATAACAATCATACTTCATATTGGTACTGCTTGCTAAAATGTGAGATTGTAAGTGCAAAGAAATTTGAAAAAAGGATAAAGTAGGCTGACAAAATAATGTGAAACAGCATAAAATGAAATCTTAGATATGGGGTATAGAGGAGTAATAGAGGGATTGAGAGAGATGTTTGGGATTAGATAGAGACTATTCCCAGGTGGTGCTGTGTGTGTGTTCAGTCGTTCAATTGTGTTCAGTTCTTTGCAGCCCCATGGACAGAAGCCCGCCAGGCTCCTCGGTCCATGAAATTTTCCAGACAAGAATACTGGAGTCTGTTGCCATTTCCTACTCTAGGGGATCTTCCCGACTGAGAGATGGAACCCACGTCTCTTCCATTGGTATGCGAGTTTCAGGTGGCGCTAGGGGTAAAGAACCCACCTGCACGTGCAGGAGACGTAAGAGATACAGGTTCCATCCCTGGGTCGGGAAAATCCCCAGGAGGAGGGCATGGAAACCCACTCCAGTATTCTTGCCTGGAGAATTCCATGGACAGAGGAGCCTGGCGGGGTACAGTCTGTATAGTCGCAAAGAGTCAAACACAACTGAAGCGACTCAGCACACAGCACTTTTCTTAGGGAAGTGAGTCTGGAGCTTACCTTTCAGGCTAATAAGCATGTGTTGAGTGCCTTATGAGCCTGGTGCTATGCTGGTCAATAGAGTCTGAAAGGTGAGTGCTCTAGAAACATATGTTTGATGAGAAGTAGAAGGATAAGTACCCACTCCAGGTTTCTTGCCTGGAGAATCCCAGGTGGGATTCTGGTGGAGCCTGGTGGGCTGCCGTCTACGGGGTCACACAGAGTCGGACACGACTGAAGTGACGCAGCAGCAGCAGCAGATGCAGTATTAATAAGGTGCTTAATTGATTAGGAGCCTACCTTGGGAATATGGAAAAATGCAATCTCAGTGGTAAGATCCATTCAGTTGAAAGAGAGCCTTGAGAACAGGAAATTTGTATTCCATTCATTCAATTTAAAATACTTACTGAACGTATATTAGGTGCGAGGCTCAGGGTTACAATTATAAGTAAAGAGAAAAAGTTTTCTGCCCTTATGGAATTAGAAATAAAGATAAAATTACAGCCATGTTCGATGTAAAGCAAAGAGAGATTGTGCTATAAGATCACATAACAGGAGGGTTTGACCTACAAGAAGGTTTTGATTCAGATCTGAAAATGATTAGACTTAACAAGGCAAAGGTTGTGGGGGTCAGAATTCAGCAGAGCATTCTAACAAAAGGAATCATGAGTGGAAAGACCTCATGGTGGAAGAAACATAATGAAGAACGAGGCTGGAGGGACTGGATCATGCAGGGCCTTTTTGGCAACATTTAAAGATTTGTCTTTTGCTTAAGAGTGATGGAAAGCCATTGAAGTGTTTAAATTTTAAGCACATAGTGTCATGACCAGAAGTTCGTTTAGAAAAGATCTCGTGACTTTGGAGAATGAATTGGACATAAGATAGAAGGGATGTGGGGTGATGGGTTACTGTATTAGTCATATTAGAGTAGCTCTGATTCAAAATAGTGATGCAGAGCTACTGCTAATACAAAGAGGGGGAAAAGCAAAGACTCAAAAGATACTTAGGAGTTAAAACTTCAAATGACTCCATATGACATCTTGTTGTGAAAAGAAAGGAGAAGGAGTTGAGGATGACTTGCAGGTGTCTGGGGCTTCCTGCGTGGCTCAGCGGTAAGGAATCCACCTGTAATGCAGGAGCTGCAGGAGACACAGGTTCGATCCCTGGGTTGGGAAGATCCCCTGGAGGAGGGCACGACAACCCACTCAACTATTCTTGCCTGGAGAATCCCATGGACAGAGGAGCTGGCAGGGGTACAGTCCATAAGATCGCAAAGAGTTAGACACAACTGAAGTGATTTAGCACACACACTCCTTTCCTTACAAGTAGATCAGGTTTTCAGTGGTTTTTTTTTTTCCCTTTGGGGGGAGTCAGGGAGAAAATTCCACATGTTAAGTTCGAGATGTCTTTTGTCGACTTAAAAACAAACGCATAGCGTGACAGTTGCGAGTTATGTTTTATTTGGGGCAAAGTGAGGACCGAAGCCCAGGGAATCTCACCTCAGATAGCTCTGAGGAACTACTCCAAAGAGGTGGAGGTGGGGAAGGTCAATATCTATGTGATTTTGGTTAAGGGGAAGTTCATGGAATCAAGTGCTTATTTTACAAAAGGTTTTCTGCTAGTCATGAGGAACTGATGTCCCCATGAAGGGATTTAGTGATTTTCTAGATATGAGGAAATACAAGGATTGGGTTCATAAAATCAGTCCTTAAAAATGTCTGTACGAAAACCTGTTCTGCTAGTTTCCCCAGAGCACAGTGGCTCCTTCCTGACCTCCACCCTGAACTTCTTCCAGGGGATGTTGAAGGACCGCAGCTGCAGCAGCATGTGATTTAAGCCTTGTAGAGGTAGATGGCAAATGCCCATGACAAGTTACAATTTGTAATTAACATTTCAAAACATGCAAATAGAGATGGCGAGTTGTAGCTAGTGGTATGGGATATATTTTCAGAAATAATTATGTCACTGAATCTTTGGACATGCATGCAAATTCTCTAGGGAGAAAATATAGATTAAGAGAAAATGTAGTACGAATTTTAAGTGATAAATTGGGATTTAAGCATTACTAGCAGTGACTGGCTAAAGAGTGGAGGATGAGTCTACAAAGAAGACAGGAGTGGAGATGGCAGAGAGGAAGGAAGAAAAGTCAGAACTACTTACAGGATAAGAGATGGCTGCTTGCTTAATGGGTATGATGGTCATTGAACCCATTTCCCAAAACAAGAAGCATTAACACCTTGGAAGATACGCATTGAGAATCCAAGGAAACTAATGACAAGAGATGAGAGCCTAGAATAGATTTGTTGTGGTTAGAATGGAAAAAGATTGGGAGAGGAGAGAATCACTGTTAAAAACAGGCCAACAGAAACATTTAGTTTTTTTTTTTTTTTTCCATTTATTTTTATTAGTTGGAGGCTAATTACTTTACATCATTACAGTAGTTTTTGTCATACATTGAAATGAATTAGCCATGGATTTACATGTATTCCCCATCCCAGTCCCCCCTCCCACCTCCCTCTCCACCCGATCCCTCTGGGTCTTCCCAGTGCACTAGGCCCGAGCACTTGTCTCATACATCCAACCTGGGCTGGTGATCTGTTTCACCCTAGATAATATACATGTTTCAATGCTGTTCTCTTGAAACATCCCACCCTCGCCTTCTCCCAGAGTCCACAAGTCTGTTCTATACATCTGAGTCTCTTTTTCTGTTTTGCATATAGGGTTATCGTTACCATCTTTCTAAAGTCCATATATATGTGTTAGTATACTGTAATGGTCTTTATCTTTCTGGCTTACTTCGCTCTGTATAATGGGCTCCAGTTTCATCCATCTCATTAGAACTGATTCAGTTTCTTAAGAACAATTAATATGGCCAGTTAGGAAACTGTAAATTATGTTTAAAGGTTTTGAAAATACATTGGGATTTTGGGGTAACAATTTTTAAAACTCTGTAAAATAGAATTGTTTATTCATAAAAAGGACTTCGCCTTCCAATATAGAGGATTTGAGTTTGATCCCTGATGAGGGAGCTAAGATCTCACATGCCTGGTGGCCAAAAAAACAAAGCATAAGATAGAAACAATATTGTAACAGATTCAACAAAGACTTTAAAAATGGTCCACATCAAGAAAAATCTTTTTTAAAAGAATAGCTATTTTCCTACAAGACATAAAGGAATAAAGGTAGGAGAAAAGGATGAACATTTGTTGTCTACAGTGGATCAAAATTGTATGTTTAGTTCTGTGTTAAACCACTTGGATGTATTTTCTCAGCTAACTAATAGAACCCCTAATACTTGTTTACAACTTTGATCAGAGATGGCTAGAGGGAGCTGTTTTAATACAAAGCCAGAGCATTGCTGACTTGTCAGTGATTCAAGAGATCATTATATAGGGCAAAGCAAGACTTAAAAACTAAAATTTATATAAAGCGGAAGAATGTGTATTAAGGCCTGTTGTGTCTTATTATGAAAGCAATGCTTAATCTCGTCTCTAAATGACCCTTCTTCATTGCTTCCTCTACCTTACACTAACTACAATATAAATTTTAAGTGATAAGAAGTTGCCTTGCATCAAATAATGTGAGGATTTTAAGCAATCTTGGTCAAAAGCCAAGTTTTATCACAGATGCGATGCAAACATTTTGCCTCTGTTACATGTTACAAACATGACAACTTGTACTTTAAGCCTCAGTCTCCCTGATGGCTCAGTGATAAGGAATCTGCTTGCCAATGCAGGAGACGCAGGAGTCACAGGTTTGATCCTGGGGCCGGGAAGATCCCCTGGAATAGGAAATGGCAACCCACTCCAATATTCTTGCCTGGAGAATTCCATGGACAGAGAAGTCTGGTGGGCTACAGTCCATGGGGTCACAAAGAGTTGGACACGAATGGGCAACTGAACACAGCACACACATGGTATCTTTTCTGAACCAAGATCTTTTCTGCCTATCCTAGGAGAGAGGAACTGGGAAACATACTTTATAGGAAAGTAGTTCATTTCACATTCTTAAGTCAAGAAGTATAGAATGGGGTTAAGCAGCCAGGTTAACTGGCTCTAAATTCTGATTCTGCGCTTGTTGTCTATATAATCTGGGATAAATATCCTAACCTCTGTCTCTCTCATTTTACTTCTTGGTTAAGTGGAGATAGTTGCGGTACCTACCACACAGCTGTTGTAAGGGTTAAAGTAGTTAACCTTTAGAAGAGCAAGTGTTTCATAAGTATTAATATAAATATAATAAGATCATATTTTTTAAAAGTTTGGTTAAAAACTTAAAAGAAAATTAAGCTTACGTAATATTATGCAATTGATGTACTCTTCTTTTTTTTAAAAAATCCGAGTTGACATTTAACCACAATATATCCCGCAGAATTTAAGTATTATACGTTGTAAAGAAGATGCTAGGCTGGAACGTGATTTCCCACAGATACGACTGGATGGTGGAATTGCAGGTGCATGTTACTCAATGGTACAGGTCATGAGCTTCCCACGCTGGTGACTCCCCTAGTGTGTGGGATTTGATTCATCCATGGTTCCCTCATTTATGCTGTGTCTCTCCTTCTCTCCACCTGTCCTGTTCCTTGCAGTCGGATACTTCTGGAGACTATGAGAGCACACTCTTAAAGATCTGTGGAGGAGATGACTGAGTCAAGAACATCCTTTCCAAAGGCTGCCTGCTCCCATGATGGGCATTTTCCTCAGCTCTGCTTACTCCTTTTTCACGGTATTTACAAGTACAAGCAAGTGTCCACAATAACCTGTTTTTAACAGAAATTCTCATTGTTCCATAATAATAACAACCACAAAAAGTGATTATTGTCATAGAACGTCTCATCATAATGTAGCCACTTATAAATGAAATTTTTAAATGAAATTAAAGATCTGCTAATACTATCCAAATTGCGTTTCTGCTTTGGAAGTGAGAATCTATGTATAGTTCTAAAGCACTCAATGCCAAACAGTGTAATAAAAGTTGTTGCCTATGTAAAAGGTGATCTGTCTGCTAGTTTTTGTCATCTTCCAGCATTGTTTGGTACCTGGCACCAATGACTAAAGATATTTTAAAATGTGTTTTTGTTGTAAAAGCTGTGGTTGCTTCAATTTATCTATTGTCTTATTGATCATATTCATCTTTAAGAAAGAAATAAAAATGAAGCTCTATGTAATCCTGGCCTCCCTTTTCTTGTTTAATCAAGCTGGAGGAGTGGCAATGCATGAGAAGTTATTTTAGCCCTCAGAAAACACCCACTAAACTATTGATCTAACCACTGCCCATCTGAATAACAAACATGACTTGTGGTGGTTTCATGCCAAAAACTACTTTCCCAGAATGGGTATTTAGAATCAAGTTTCTTAGGTATCTTTTTCCTCTAAAATAAGTTTGCAGGACTACACACTTTTAGAAATCTTTTATGTTATATCTGAAAGGGACCTAAGATGAAATACTGAAAGGAAATATGTAAGGTACAAAGTTCTAGTTAAGAGTTATGAACCTGGGCAGAAATAGAAATGATAGATGTGTGAGAAATAGAAAGAGTGATGGGTGAGTTCAGAACTTTTAATCAGTGGATTCCACACTTCAGCATTTCTGAGACCTTTCAAAAAGATGGCGAAGAAGTTATTTCTTGTCCTGAGATTTCCAAAAATGCGTATGGGAATAAAGCACAGGAATTTAGAATCTACATGCCAGGTTTTGACATCCTGCCTTAGGAAGTGAAAGTGAAAGCCATTCAGTCGTTTCCAACTCTTTGCAACCCCATGGACTATACAGTCCAAGGAATTCTCCAGGCCAGAATACTGGAGTGGGTAGCCTTTCCCTTCTCCAGGGGATCTTCTCAACCCAGGGATCGAACCCAGATCTCCCACATTGCAGGGGGATTCTTTACCAGCTGAGCCACAAGGGAAGCCCAAGAATACTGGAGTGGGTAGCCTAGCCCTTCTCCTGGGAATCTTCCTGACCCAGGAATCGAACCGGAGTCTCCTGCATTGCTAGTGGATTCTTTACCAACTGAGCTTCCTGCCTTACCATACAGCCGAATAAATAAATATTAAAAAAAATAAGATGGTGATGATTATAGCTCTCACTTCTTTCCTAGGTTTAGGTAAAATAATGCCTGTGAGGCACTTAGCCGTATGCCTGAACTTCACACGTGTTCAGTGACTGCGCTATCATTTACTATTAGCAAGCAACATCAAAATGATCATGACAGCATTGCAGCTATTCTTCAACAGATTTCAGTTCATCTATTAAGTGCCATCCCCTGTGCTAAGTAAGTGTTGGATACTCCAGAAGAGCTAAGACTTGTTTACTTTGGCCAGAGAGCTTTAAAATCTGTTTAGGGAGAGAGACCGGTGGGGCTTAGCATACGGGAGGAGGTGACCAGTGACAAGGGCTAGACTATGAAGGTCTCATAGACCTAAAGAATTTACGAGCAAGGGAGAGTCATGGAAGGAGCATTCCAGGAGGGTTTCAATCAGGGAAATGATGTCAAATTTTTGATCAAGGAGGAAGAATATGTGGGAGAAGAAAGCTAAATGCAGGGAGCCCACTTGGCAAATTAGCTCTTTAATCAATATAGAAGTGTTAGCCTGAGCTAAGATAATAACAAGGGAGAAAAGGAAGAAAAAATACACTCATTTAAGTATTTAGAAGATAAATACTTCTAAAAATTGATAGAACACAGAAATCAAAAGAGTCAGGTGTCATGTATGCCTTCACAATTTTGGCTTAAGTGAGTAAGGGTATCACTGAGCAATAAATCATTGCTAATATGCATTGAGTGCTTATTGTATAGCTGTATTAAACAGTGTAGTATATATTAAATCATTCATCCTCAAGGAACTTTCCAATGTAGGCATTAACTCAAAGACACAGGAACAGAAGCTGAGAGAAATCAAGTACGTTGCCCATTGGAAGAGACAAGATTTAAACCCAAGCAGTCCAACTCAACCGTGTCCAGGCCATTAACCACTATTTTCCCTTACTATTTATCCCATTCTAAGGCCAGTGTCCTTTTCAACCTTAGAACTTAGCTGTTTGAATGAAGGGATTTTTGTCTGCTGCCTTCTCTGCTGTATCCCTAGTGTTTAGAACATACACACACACTATTGGGTGTTTATAGAAGTTTCATCACCTAGGCTTGATCATTCATTAAGTCCATTTCAGCCCTTTTCCCTTCTTAGGAATTTGAGGGACTGGGCTGAAAATTCCAGACCTCTAATCATGGCTTGTTCTTTCCAATGACCAGCCCTCATCCAGGAATCCAACCAGAGCGGCCTCTTTAGCAAAGACGAAATATTAGGACAAAAGATACTCCTAGTGTTCTTATCACTTAGAAAATTACAAGGGTTTTAAGAGCCCTGTGCCAGGACTGAGGGGGCAGAGACCAATATATGATGTTTTCTGTTATCTCACCAGGGATTCCCTGCGTACTTCTTCATAAACCACGGTGAATGTCAATGTAAATGTTATCCCTCTCTAAATTTCTAGCCCAGTTCCCTAGTCATAGTAAGCATGTGACCAGTTTTAATGACAATGATTTGTAAAGTGGGATAGTAGATCTTTCCTATCATTTGTACCGGGTTGATGTAAGGAGCACATGAAACAATGATTGGAGCTACCATGAAAAGTATTACATGTGATTCAAATGTGATGTGAAATTGTAGACTTAATATTAAAAGAATCAATTTTTGTTGTGTATATGAATCAAGGACGTACTAGGTACTGAGTACAGTACTAGATCTTTTAGATCTCATTTATTCTTGGAGCAAGGTCATATGTGTCATTATCCCCATTTACAGATGAAGAAGATGAGACTCGGAAAGTATTTACTTGCATGCATGCTGCATGCTAAGTTGCTTCAGTTCTGTCCAACTCTGCGACCCTATGGACTATAGCCTGTCAGGCTCCTCTGTCCGTGGGACTACTAGCCCAAAGTTACACAGTAGGGAAACCAAGGTTTCCCTTGGTTTCCCAATACAGATGGTATTTGTGCATGAGTGTGTATGAAGAAAGATAAGAACATAAAGGGAGTGGTGATCACTGGACAGAATACTGCAAAAAGAAGGGAACACTGAGATAAGGAAAAATTCCAGGGAAAGCTCTCCTCTCACCCTCTGACCTCCTGTGCATTGGGCCAGCTGTTAGCTGATGGATTCTGATGATTCTGATAGAACATGGTTATCTCAAGATCCAGGGTTATTGTTAGTGACCCTTCCAAAGAACTGTGACATTTATCTTTAAATATTTAACACATGTTTAAATACGTGAAAATGAGAAGGGCTGTATATGGCCCAGGGCAGTGCCTGGTTTAGTGCATGAGCCCTGGGGTCACAATGCCCCCATCTGTGACTGTAGGCCGATTACCTCGCTGAGTCACACATTCCTCACCCTTAAAATCGGGACAATAATAGTTCCTACCTCGTAAAGTTATTCTAATAAGTAAGTGAGAAAACATTTAAAAGCTGTTTTGCATAGTCCCTGGCATGTGGTAAGCCCTCAATAAATGTTAGCCCAGGTCATGTTATTACCATCCAAGGGCCTTGTTTTTTTATTGCCTCCAATTTCCACAAGGTGGCAGGTCGAGTTCAAAGTGGACCCCGTGGCTCTGAGTCCCAGAGGCAAAACCTATTTTAATTGCTCCACAATAACGGGGCCCAAAATGAATTGTTCGAAAACATGTTCATTGTCTGTAGAATGTTTGTTACCATCCAGACATCTTATTGTTGCTGTAAAACCCATCTTAATGGAACATATGTATCATTTAATTTCATCCTGTTGTTTCTCAAGATTCCCAGGACCATTTGCATTTACATGAAATGCATATTAACTCTTCCAGGGGTCTTTCAGCTAAGTGAGTACGTTCAAGTCATCTCATTGCGCGCTGTTTAGTCCCTGAAAGATTGTGAAAAGGAGAAAGCTAGCAAGCTGGAAAGAGTCTTGGTCTCGGTGAACTGCAGAAGGCAGGAGATTTGTGCACTTCGTCCTGGAGTGAGAGGGTGCTTGGTCTATTTGTGAGGAGCTACCATAAAATAACAAATGGAGATTTTGAATAGGGGCGTGTCTAACCTATTTGTAAGAGCATATTGAGAGCTCACACAATTTCAGACTTTTCTTCTGTGTGTCCTCTCCTTTTTCCTTTCTCCTAACTTCATGTCATATTGATAGCCTCCAATTTCTACAATTTGGCTTCATCTTTGATACATTGGTTTTGGGGTCAGGTCAAACTGGGTCCAAATCCTGTCTCTGCTGCTCATTATAGCAGTGTTTACAGCAGTAAGGATTTGACGTACACTTAGCTTCTTTATACCTCAATTCTTTCCCACCCCCTCCCCCGCCCCCTTTGGCTGCTCTGGGTCTTTGTAGCTGCGCGCAGGCTCTTTGTCGCTGCGTGCGGGAGTTCTCTAGTTGCATCGCTCATCTCTAGGTTGGTGCGGGAGTTCTCTAGTTGCATCGCTCATCTCTAGGTTGCCCTGTGCCTCCGGCTGCAGTGGTGTGTGGTTGCAGGTTGCAGTGGTGCTTGGGCCCCTCATCGCAGCGGCTTCTATGGTCGTGCGTGGGCTGTAGGCGCTCAGGCTTCAGTAGATGTGTGCTTGGGCTCAGGTGCCCCGCAGCATGCGGGATCTTAGTTTCCAGACCAGGAGTCAAACCTGTGTCCCCTGTAGTGGCAGGCAGATTCCTACCCACTGGACCACCAGGGAAATCTCTCTCAATTCTTAAATTAAGTTTTTAATTGAGGTGGCATTGATTCATAACACTACCTAAGTTCCACATGTATAATGTTATATCTCTATTTCTATATACCCTACAGCATCAATTCTTTACCTGAAAATAACAAAACCTACCTGAAAGAATTGTGAGGATTAAATGAAATAAAGCATGTGAAGAATTTAATTCAATCAGAAATAGTTACTAGTAATTAGACTAACATGGCCTTGCCCGGAAAATAGCAGCTAGAAGGAGCTCAATAAGCATTTGTAGAAGAAATATT